CTTTTTTTATCCAAGTGAACATGGAGACCTGGAAAGTAACAGCACCAATTGGAGATTAATGGTTGCTGTTGTGAAACAAATATATTTTATATTAAGTTAAACACTAGTTTTTATAACCATCACTGCCAGTAGATTTCCACCAAAACCATCAAACTTGGACAAGTCTTCTACACTCACTGACTTTCATCAGGTCGGTCTGTAAAAAATGTTGATTGATCTCTTACTGAGGTATGGTCTCCACTACTGAGGTGGTGTTCTCTTGATATGCAGGTATATTAGTTCCTTTCTGTTTTTTTTTTATTAGACTTGACTTATAAGAGGTTAAACACCTCATTACCCATGCCTAATCAGCTTGCTTACTAATGAGGTGATTTATTGCCTATGATACAAAAACGCTCAAGTATATCACAGTCTCTTTCGAAATACAAACATGAGTCAACAATATTTAATTACTGTCCAATATTTGTATACTTTATTTTAAATGCATGCGGAGTGAGATGTGTTTCTTTGATGGTCTGATGATGTGTTTGTTTGCTGATTTTAAGTGTGTGGTCTGAAAAAGTATCAGTGCCCATGATGTGTTGTCTTTTCTGCAGATCACGTTTAAGAATGAAGTTGGACAGTATGACTTAGAAGTTACGACCTTTCAGCTGGCTGTACTCTTTGCCTGGAACCAAAGACCAAGAGAAAAAATTAGTTTTGAAAATTTAAAATTGGCAACTGAGCTTCCTGACGCAGAGCTTCGACGAACTCTATGGGTAAGCTGTAGCCTTTCGGGGAAAATGAAGTTTTTTTGGGCAGCAAAGGTTTCAGTATCTGTCTTCATTTCATCAGCACAGGAGTGATCCTGGAGAGTCATAATCGGGTATAGCTGCTGCCAATTCCCACACAGAGCTGAGCTGTGAATATTCTCAGTTGACAGTGCCTTTTCACAGTCTAATTCTGCATAACATTGATTTATTTTTAGTAGTATTTGTGGAAGTATTTTTTTCAGAGCTTTTTATGATAGTATTTGCCTTTTCATTCTTTGTAATACTGTATATTATTCAAGGAATCTGTTTTATTCTGTTTTACTGCTTTCTGCTCAGTTCTTCATATGGTTAGTAAATGTCTGTAATCCTTACCCCCCCAGTCTCTTGTAGCTTTTCCAAAGCTGAAGCGGCAGGTGTTAACATACGAACCTCAAGTCAATTCTCCCAAAGACTTCACAGAAGGCACCCTCTTCTACGTGAACCAGGAGTTTTCTTTAATGTGAGCATTGTGCCATTTTGATTATTATAATCAAATCACAACAAAAAGCATAATTTCAAATATAATATAAAAAAGATAGTTGTTGTACTCTTGTTCTTGACGTCAGATTCTTTCTTTTAAAAATCAACATGGTGTAATGTAAGGGACATATATTAGCTGTCTCCGGGAAATGTTGACATGTTGAGGGGTGTTTATATATACATCAGGTATTGCTAAGGGAATAATTTTCCATGTTGGCGTAGTGGTACTGTAAGGCTGAATAGCAAACGTACTTGCCAGGGACAGGACTATGAGTTTAAAAATTGCTTTGCAAAATACGAAAAAACTATGTGACTTAGGATGTTAAAGATGTATTCATTTCTTTGAACAAAAATAATTTAAAGGATAAGAGGGATAATTAAAATGTTAGGAATTACTTGCATTGCTGCTAACCAGTGTTAAGGGTTTCAAATGGTCAGGTCATTTATGAACATAAGTCTGAACCTTATATATTGTGTTTCCTTTTAGAAAAAACGGAAAGGTTCAAAAGAGAGGCAAGATCAATCTCATTGGCAGACTGCAGCTCACAACAGAGAGGATGAGAGAGGAGGAAAATGAAGGCATTGTCCAGCTTAGAATATTGAGAACCCAGGTGTGTGCATTCCGGTGGACAGTGGCTGTAATGGGTGACATGAGTAAACTTTCCCACATAAAAAAATGTTTAGATGCATTTAATGAGAGGTGCAGTTTTTAAGAAAAAATAAAACCAAACTGGAATACAATTTTTTTAAAGCAAATGTCACATTACTTATCTTGACCTGGGCTCAAGGTTTACTTGAGTTTTGATGAACTGATGGATCTTTCTGTATTTGCAATAAGAAAGCAAGTGACACTTGAACAAGAAAACAAGCGACATATTCGGAATCTACATTTGTTATAAAAATAACATTATTGTTCACTTGGGGGCTATTTTAGAATTTTCCAGTTATGTAAAACAAATTACTATAGCAATAACCTAATGAATTTGTCTTGGATATTATGTTTTTTTACATTACTGATCTACTGATGGTATCCTGTGTTATACATAACATTTTGATATACATGTACAAACGTTTTACATTTTCAGAACCAAAACTGAAACATATCTGTGAATAACTTGCAAAACCACACAAACCTACTAAAACAAAGAAATCTAAAGAAACCCATTGCTCTAAATTTGAGATAACCTGCTTGTAGCGTGGATTTACACACTACATTGATGCCTTTGTTAGAAAAAAATGTAATGGTTTTATTTTCTAGCTGAAAGTATTGACTATAACTAACTAAAACTAGACAGATGTAAGTGGGCACAGGCATTTCTATTGTATGTGTAAAAGTCACACTTTTTTTCCCCCCTTTTTATTCCAGGAGGCCATCATCCAAATAATGAAAATGCGTAAGAAAATCACCAATGCCCAGCTACAAACTGAACTGGTAGAAATTTTGAAAAACATGTTTTTGCCACAGAAGAAAATGATCAAAGAGCAAATTGAGTGGCTTATTGAGCACAAATATATCAAGAGAGACGAGTCAGACATTAATACCTTCATTTACATGGCGTAGCCGAGAAGGGGCAATAGAGACGGCGATGAAGACGAGGATGCCAGGTGGAAACTGCATTGGTCAGAGGCTTCTCAACAGGCTTGTGTGGAGATGGACTGGATTTCTGACTGAACGTTCAGTGACATAAATATTAAACTCCCTGCCTTACCTTAGGAAAATTAAAAAAAACAACAAAAGGACTATATTTTGCCAATTTTAGTCAGTATGCATGGTGGCATTTGCCTTCCTGTTTTTCATCTTCAGCAGCATGCTATTCTGTGGAAAGTATTGCATTCATCAAAGAGCCTGTTCTGTGCCGTTTAAACAATTATGATTTCCATCCAATGATATCCAACTGAAAGGTTGGATCACTCATATTTCTCCTTCAGACGAGCCCCCACTACTGTTAACTACAGACCCAAAAGTCAAAATGAACTGGGGAACTGATAGTAGTTTTTGAACTTAAAGAACTGTGACTGTAACTAGGATTAGCACCTTTACTTCTGGAATACTATACATACATTTACCATGGTTCTAGTTTGAAGTCCTGGTTTTGAACTTTTTTTTTGGGTACAGATGTCTAAAGATCAGTAAATGTGACCATAAAGCCTACAGGTCACGCAATACGATAATGATGGAGATGGTATCATTGGGCTTTTTCGTCTTTGCCTGGAGTGATCTTTTTTAAGTCACAATTTTCCTTTTATTGCTTTCAGTTCTCCTTATTATTACCCATCTTGCCTCCCTTTAAAGGACACAGAACACAGATCAGATGCTGATTTCAGGGAGATTTTTCATGTTTTAATAAGGTTTGTAACTGTAAGGTAATAAAAACATGATGTTAACAATCTGGTCTTCTGAGCGTGTGCAGAAAGAGGGTCTTTGTGCTTATTTAGATCCCATTTAATGTGGAAGGAGAAAAAAAATGAAAATGAAAAAAACTCTTCTGATAGCCTGGAGTGTTAAAGGTTCAGGGATTTATAGTTGGTGATTATCATCATCGGAGCAGGGCTTACTTCTTTCTTCTTTCCAGGCCCTTGAAACAAAGCCAGCTGCTTACACACGCGTAATCCATGGTGTGTTGAAAAAGGTCTCCTAAAAATCAACTTCATCCCAAGGTTCAAGATTCAAGATTGCCGTATCTTTCTAAAATTAATTGAAAATGTAATCCTTCATAAATGTCAAATGTCCTTTGAGCTTTCCCAGTATTATTCTGTATTCTTTCAAAGAACATGAGCTCTATTTGTCATCTGCACCATGTTTTCTGAAAAGGAGATCTAATTGAAGCACCTTAACTGTTAATTTTTTGTTTCATTCATGGAAAATTATTTTGGGGTGCATAATCTGCTGATAAAGCCCACAGAAAAGGTTTGAAATACGGATGACTAAAACGTGTGACTTGACTTCTTTTAAATCAAAGAAAAATCAAGGTTTCACTGCTCATTTTAATATTTTCTTTCAGTTTTATAATTGTACTTTAAAATAACCTGTAGAAAAGATCTGTAACCTTGATCTCTGAAGCATGGTATTTGCTTGCAGTAAACCATCAAGGGTTAGACTTCAGAATGTACAGGTATTGTCACAGTAAATGAAGCCGTACAATGTTTTTACATGAGTGGCATAAAAGTGTTTTTTGAGGTAATCCTACAACTCGATGGACAACAATGTGTACAGGATTGCTTACTCTTGTGTAGACCTTGTCATGCTGCACACTATGTTCTCCAGATCATTTTTAGACTTTACAGCCGTTAGATTAGAAATCCTATGTTCTTAAAAAATGAAGTCACATCCCTGTTTGTCTTGACACGCGATACCATCTTATTTTAATAATTATCGCAGCCTGTCCATGAAACTCGGGTACTTGCAACCTCTGAACATCTGCAGTATGTGGGGTTTGTAAGTGCTCACAAAGACTTTCAGGTTTGCACTGGTTTTGTCACTACCAATTTGTCAAAAAGCCCCCTTGAATGCTTCTTTTACTTTAGAACCCAATTAACAATTTGGTTAAAAGTTTGTTTTCCTTCAGAATCTGGTTTTCGTTAAGATAACGGGTGTTCCTGGTAGAGCAGACGATTTCCTAGGTATTCCGTTTGATTTTGCATCCAGAGAATACAGCCAATCCGTTTTCTCTCTTGTAAAGAGTTCCTGTTGAAAGGAGGTAATGTCGAGGATTGGTGGCTGTGTGTTGCTAGCAGACTGTTGTCAGCAGAATGGCAGGGTAGTGAGCATCGGTCACCTCTCATTCTGGCTTTTCAGCTGGTTTTGTCAAATGTTCCTAGTAACCAGTGATGTTTTCTTCAGCCTAGACAAAAACGTCTGTCTGCCTCATATAAGAATCGACTATGAATTAAGGAAGAGTGGTGATTGTTTAGTATGATAATACAAATTCTTCTATATTTTGTGTTTGTTACTTTTATTTTTTGTGTTCACATTAGCCATTAATATGGTGCTTAGAGTTTTTTTTTGTTATATATGTATATATTTTACTCTGCATTCAATGTATTGGGCTTTTAGACAATTAAATTAAACTATTTCTGAAGATCAATAACGATACAATGTATTTTTTTACGCTTGATCCCTTTTTACTTCCATTGGTTTCTAACATCTGAAATTGTGACAGCTTTTGTGGCAGGGTGGATCTGTTCTCTATGGATATTGTCATTGCTCCATTTATAACGATGTCCATAATATTTAAGTAGAAGCTAGGGAATGTCATTACCTTTTACGTACATTAATGGTTTTGTTCATTTTCACAGTGGGGAGCTGTTCAAAGACGTTTTTGTTCCAGGATTTCTCTCAACACGTTCTCTGCACCTTGTTTTCCAGTATAAGATGTACTGTACATGCATAAAGTATAGAGGAACAAAAAATTGTAACAAAAGCATATTTAATTCGAGCAAAAACTTAAAGGGGTGAATCTCTTCAATTTATATTTAACACTAAAGCATGCTGTTTTGCTGTCAGTTTTTTTTCCTGTTTTAAATTTCACTAGTGGTCTACTGTAAAGAAAAGTGTTGTATTGCGCATTGCCTGAAACATAGTGTTACATTATTGTCCTAGAATTGTGTTTTGCTTGTGTTCGTGATTGATGAACCATTAAGGAGGGAGTACTTGACTGCCTGTAAAAACTACTTATGGATGCACAGTTCACCCTTTTATATTTCTAGAAATACAGGCATAAAAGGGGACACAATAGCAATAGTTTTAGAATATTTTTGCTATTAATTAACTCTAGTTATATCAAAACGTATAACACTGTCCTCATTCTGTGACAAAACAGATTGGTTTTCTATTGGTATCTATGCAAGGTATAATGCCATAAGACCATTCTGTTCTATTATAACATTATTCAGTTTGCAGTTTGTTTCACACAGAACATATCTTAACAGTGTGCAGTTTATAGTATTCTTAAATCACATTTTCTGAGAAATACCTGAATTACTGTACTTAATCCTGCAAAAGAACGATCACAAATCCTAGCTTTTGATCCAGGGAATGTCTGGACTGTATCATATATTTTTATCGATACCTAGAGCTTTTAAAATATTTTTGAACAAGAGATGGGTATTGAAAAATATGGAAGTGTAAAATTATAGGTGTATGAATGTCTTTCATATCACCATTTGATTTATATGCAGTAGCCTTATTTGTCAAATAATTTATTCCCCATTATCTTAATAAAAAAAGATTCCTCGGTTTCTTTGACGGCTGTGGGTTTAGTGAAAATAAAAGCATTTGGATTGTTGAATAGTTTTACAACTACTATACATGCACCAGCATGGTAATAAGGATGTCTGGGTTTCAATTATCCTCTTTTAAATACATCTGAACATTTTGTTTCAGAACATTTTCCTGTACATGATTTATACCTGTGTAGTTCTGAGTTTTGCTGCTGTGGGGTTTCTTGAACTTACTAAAAGGATACATGAATCTTTAAAAGCCCGATACAAGCACTCTGCCCTTGTATGTCTTGTTTGAGGTTCTGATAAATATTCAGTGTGGCATTGTAGTTTACACTAACTAAAGAGATCAGAACTGCCTGCTACACTTTTGGTGAAATCTTTTGAATTGATATTCCTAATGTAGTGTGATGTCTTCCACTTTTTAGTTTTAATGTTGACATTAAACTCTATCCCATGCAAGATTTATTGCTCCTGAGGGGATACTCCAAACAGGTTTTTTTTTCCCCAATTATTCCACTGGATGATAGCGGTTCATTCTACCTTCACTACAATGATTTGACAGTGATTTTTTTTATGAATAAAATGTAAACATTTATGAAAATCCTTGGCCTTTACTCTTACTTTGAGATGAGATTTTGATCTAAATTCAGTTTTTTTTAATAATCTTTAAATAACATGAAATATAATACAAATGTGCTAAAAATCTGAATGTTATAATTGCTTTTTATCTCTGTGAAAATGTGAAAGTGGAAAATGATTTTTTTTTTCCAGAAAGCATTTTTTCTTAGTTTAACTTCACTTTGAGGTTAGACTTGATAGGAGAAACTTGATGGACTATATAAGTGTTAATAGATGAATTGACAGTTCTTAGGTACAAATTCCTTAAATTAAAATTGTAGTGTCTGTTTTTATTATCCTCACAAGTATGATAATTACAAACATTTTACATTTTTTATGTAATGGGTGAATTTTGTCTGTAAAAGTTACAATGAACCTGTGATCCATTTATAGAGTATGATTTTGTTTGTTCTGTAGTATATACACTATTTGTAGCCTGGAATGCAAAGCAAACTTGAATTCCTAGGTTTTCTGTTACATATACCAGTTGAATGTGTGCCACTACATAAGGTTAAAATGCTGTACAATTTTTTGAATGATAATCGTTTATGTATGGCTGTCTGGCTGAACTATTTTGATGTAATGCATTATTTCTGAATTTATTTTTTAAGTTGTATAATTTATTTTCTTGCAAAATAAACGGTAAAGAGGCTGTTGAATTGCTTGCTGCAATTATTTTGGTGAATTTGTATCTTTCTAGATCCTCTTACATCTCTTACAGTATATCTCAATCTTCCCTATATAAGATTAGAAGGAAGGCACACTCCTATAATTCTCCTAACATAAGCTTTTCTCCAGTTTTGACTTTTCTATTTTTGTAAAAAGATGTAGTAATAGTGCTTCAGTTTTTTTTTTTACATTCTAAAGAGTCATTTAGATAGAAGCATTTGATACATTTTTTTCATGACGGGAAAATATGATTAGGTTAGACTCACCCAATATTTTACTTGTTTACATTCATTTATGGATGAGACCTCTAAAATAACTGTGAAATATGGTTCTATTCACAGCAGAATTAACCTCCAGCCTAATGCAAATTATTTATGTGCATATAAACACTAACGCAACTAATTTATGGCACTGAAATTGTGCACCTATCAATTGTTTATATAACACCTGACTTTATTTTAAAGATTTTGTTACTCTTCATGTACCTTGTCTTCTACTTCTTCTTTATAACCAACATTAGATCTTATTCTGATGACTAAACTGTCACTATAATGATATGAATACCAAAGATTTTATTCCTGTTGAAAACACGAAAGTATGGGGAACATTTTTAGCCTATACACCGGATTAAGATCTAATGGTACTTAGTGCTGTAAATTCACTTATAATTAATCTCACGCATTTATATAGTTTTGAGGGGAGCTGCAAGATTATAGCTTGTAACACACTTTGCATTTTATAAATGCCTGTTATTCTATTTTTTTTTATTTTATGCAGTATTTTTTTTTCACATTTCCACAAACCAGTGCACTTGCATAAACGGGACCAACTAGTTTCAAGAATGCCGAGGGGGGCAAAATGCATCTATCACATAAAGCGAACTAATGAATTCTGCCACAAAATAAAGATTTAATTTTTTTTACATTTCCCCATCTATATAAAAGCAAACAGATTTTAAATACTTGATTTGGTTGTATTGCCTGTGTTTGTATATGTTACAAATTAACTGACCTCCCCCTTTAAATGTGCAAAATGCTGTGACCTCAGAGGGTTGCTGTTGCCCCGGAAGGAAGGAGTTTGCAGTGCCGGTGTGAGAAAGTGTTACTCATTTCTGTGCTGGTGGATGGAGAGTTCGGTTGCTGTGCGGGCAAAAAGAAAACAAAGTGTCGGAATTAACTGGTTTGTACAATAAAATGTCTCAGGTTTTTACTTAGCTCAACAGTGAGTGCAAAACTTGTCGGATTGTACGGAAACTAACGACGGTATTTGCTCAATAAGTCCAGTCCTTTTTTCTTCTGCTGCTAGTGGTAGCTAAGTCTAGACTAAATATAGCCTGGGAAATGCTGGGACAGATCTTACTGAGAACGTTACAACCTTGTAAGAAAAACTATGAACTGCCGATTAAGACCTTGCGGGGATCGGTTTAACGGTTAAAGATACAAGTACTGTACAGCACGACGGTGAAGAAACAAAACTAATTACAGTCCTTCTTTTGCGGTGGGATATTTTCAGTTATGATTTCGTTGTTTGGCTAAAAAAGGATAGGTTATCCGATTTTGTTTCGCTACAGTGCAGGCCTGTATATTTTTGTTGCTTGAAAATGAATGTCTTGTTGATTATGGTACGTCAGCCCGTATAAACGCAGTAACGAATTACCGTGAAATACCTCGACAGACTGCAACGACTGGTGGATATTATTTTTCTGACTGGGTCTTCTCTGATAAATTGTGAAGCACGGGCAAGACGAAATGCCCGATCGTTTTCTTCACGCCAAAATGTGCAAATGTATTTGGACCTATAGGTAGCTCGGTTAAGTTGTTGGATTTTGCAGCAATACGTTTCTCACCATGAAGTGGTGACGCAGTTAGTTTTCAGGCTCAAATAAATATTCGAGAAAAGACTATACCTTTCTTAATAGAAATGTTATTGCGTACATCTGCCTTGCCAACTTGTCTTATTTTACTGCTTATGCGTGGGAAGTTAATATGGGTCTTTACATGAAAATGTTAGTTTTGGTTCAAATGCATAACGTTTCGTCGTGCAGCAAGATCTACGATATCGCCAGTGTCCCAGACTTGGGTGCCTTGGGGAAAAAAGAGTAATATTTTTACAACACAGTTGTCCATGTCGTATGTTCTTTCATTTAGTGTAAGAATCTTTGCCATATGAGTTAGACTTAAAATATACATTACATTTCCCTGTTCGTTGCGCAAACTTTAAACACGACGACGTAGTGTCGTGGTCCTGACCTGTTCACTTTAATCTTCCATGACTATTTAAATATAATTACTATTACAAGGAATTACTCACTTGTACAATAGTCTGATTTCTTTGGGGGGGGAGGGGTGCGGAAACGTCTTGACGTGTAGATTGATGTGGTTTGGGGGTTCAAAGAGATTGAATGATTATTTTGTTCTTGAGACTAAAGCATCTTTATGGAGAGCTTCAACGAAAGGGAAAATCTGATTTTTTTAAAAAGGTTGAACTGTTAACATTATGATCTTAATTTCACAGTCGGCAAAGAAAAACTGTTACAAGCGTAGGGTTGTTAACCCAGTGTAGTGTCTAAATTCTGCTTTTGTCTTGCACAGTCTTGGGCTCCCTAAAATTACTAATTAACTGGTGAGGCAGTTTCTCACTTGTCCTCCTGATCTGCTTTGGAGTGGGGCTGCTGGTTTATACTGGCTGTCTGCATGTCACCCAGGTACTGTAAATGGGTGCTTCACTCCAGTGGAAGATCAAGTTGGTCATCTTATATATGTAGAGTGATTTGGGATGCTTTGGTTTTAAAGGGGCCACAGAAATGCACGAATGTCGTCTTGGTCGTATGTCCATTTTAGCTCAATCTAGTTATTTTCTCTACTCGGATGTTTAGGGCCTTCTAAGCCAGTGCTTGCTCTAACCATCTTTCTTTTTTGCTTTGTGTTTCAGAAGAAACTGTGCGTACTGGCTGACATTCAGCACGTATCTCAAACACTCGACAGGCTTGTATGTATTTTATCTTGGTTGTCAGAGCTACAGAAAGCAAAGGTTTTTTGAATAGCCACAACAGGGCATTCTGTTGGTGTCATTGTATCTGTAAATGAGGGAACCGGAACTTCAGTCTTTAATGGAAAACACTATTGGAGTCTGACCTTATTGTACTTATTTTCATCCGTCACTCTTTCGTGTTCGCTGTGTGCATGTGGTGTTGGGGTATGTTTTCTCTAAGAGAAAATATATGGAAAAGTTCTATAAATGAAAGTCAACCATCGTGGTAAGAATGCTTTTGAGGCTTTAGAACTGACGATCTTTATTTTGATACTACTTTACTCTTCAGAACTATTTGTAACCAGGTAACAGGTTATGTACTAATGTTCTTATTTCATGTCTCATAGAATTTATTAGAAGATTTGAATGGACAAGGTGACCAAAAATACATAGGTACCTCTTAATTTGCTAAGCTTTCCATCATTTGCACAAATCAGTCCTACATTTGCACTCATAAATGTATTTATTTTTTTTACCAGGACAGAGTCAGATAAGCAGAACGTCCACTCATTCCATAATGCCAGTGAAAAAGAAGAGAAAGTCTTCAGGTCCTGATGATTCTGGTCTAAGAAAATGCAAAATAACTAGGTAAGTGGGATTTCCATTGTCTGGTTTTTGTTTTGGATGAGGCAGTTATCCTTAATGGAACATGAAAAAAGATTACTATGTGTTCATTTTAGTAATTAGCACTTGTTAAACCATCAACAATTTAACTTTTATGTTAAGATTTTTATATAAAACACTTTCTGGCGAAATGTGATTTATACATGACTAATATATGTAAACAGAAACAATTCTTACATTTTCATTCAAAATAATCCATTGCGATATTTGTGATGAGGCTGGTTAGTAGCAGCAAATGATGTACTTTATTTTACATAAGAACATGCCGAAAAGAGACAAAACGTTTCGGCCGTGGAGCCTTTTAGGCTCTGCAGTGCAGCATTTATCCTCCAGATTAACAGACATGAATGTAATTTAGAAGAAGATCACACAGATGCTTACAGTGAATTAGTCAGATTACTCTGACACCTGATCATCACTCGAAACAATAAATGGAAATCTATATGATGAAGAACATGCCCTCGAATCTCAGCATCTCTTGTTTTGTTGATGATTGTGTAATACTTTCCACTCCCCCCTTGTTGGAAACTGTTTTACAGCAGTGTGGAATATGTAACAATGAACTCTAATATCCTTTTATCTTAGATCAGGTCCATCCAACCACTGTGTCTGTACACTCTGATCTAGCACAGAAAGCATTCCTGCAACTTTTCCTCACTATTGTAACAATGTGGGAGTGTGAGGAGCCGTGGCAAACACCGGTAAAAGCCAACACCCCGTCTGAGGGGGCAGAGGCGGTGTGAGGCTAGCGAATACCGCAAAAAAACAAAAAGGGAAAAGAAAAATGTCACTATTTAGTGGGGTCCAGCCTGGGGAAAAAGAATTGCATGGGACACTGGTAGCCAGTCTGGATTATCCCTATTAAGCGGGACCCAGACTGGAAGAAAAGGAGCATGAGGCCGAAAATAAAAGAATTCAACGTCTCCCAGTGGAGATACACGGCGGAACAGGAGAAAAGAAAAAGGAAAAAACGAAGGAAAAATGCGGCCTCAACGCACTCGTCGCAGTCCCCTCCGGGACAGTCGGTGGAAGGTTCTCCCCTTGCGGGGGGCCTGCTCGTCCCTCCGGGGGGGGTGCGCAGTAAAGGAGGTGCTCAGTCTTAGAGAGCCCTCACAGCTGCAGCTCATCCTTAATCAGCAAAGGGCAGCTGTGGTTGCTAAGGCAACACGTCGCCGTCTATGCAGGGCCCCGCTTCCACACTGAACACGCCCCTGCGTTTTGCCACACTACACATTCCTGGATTAGGTTCATTCCTGCACATTTCCATTTCAGTGAAGCCAGAGAGTCAACGGTTAAACACAGCCTCCATGTTATTTGCTTTCTAGCATATGGAAGCATGCTTGGTCAGTCGAAGGCATTCGGCTTGGATTGACTTGGCTTCAAACCCTTTTTGGTTAATTGTGAATTTTTCAGTGCTCAGCAAATATTTTAGACAATGTGTATTGTGGTTTCTTGGAGAAGAAATAAATTGACACTCTTCCATTCTAACTACATTGTGTTTTGTGCTCTCTACATTTTTTTTATCAGCTTGGGATTGCATGATGTGACTTCTCAGTTTTAAAACAGTTCCTTGCACTTTTGTGGTCTAGCTTTTGCAGATCACAGGGCCCGGGTAGACTGATCAACATGGAAGACCACTTTTCAAGCAAGAAGTGCCTGTCCTGGTTTTATGAATATGCAGGTATATATAGTGCTGGCACTGAATGCCATCTCTCAAATGTGACTCATGATGCTTAAAACACTTGTCAAACATTTTAATCAGGATTTGTTAACGATTGTGCATCCGTATGAATAAAAACAGCAGCCAGTCATGTTGCAGAGGTACAATATGTTGCTTGTTGGATAGGGTTATCTGCATTGGCTTTAGCTGGTATTTGTTGTTATTGAAATTAAATATTTTACTTATCATACCCACTTTAAGGTTTTCAGCATTTCCATTTAAATTGGAAAATATTTATTATATTGCTTTGTAGGTAGGTGTATATAGGCTTGTGTATCCTAAGAAACAATTTCTAAGATATAGTCAAAGTAGGTTTGTAGCCAAGTCCACAAACTTGAGAATGTATTGATTTCAAGATGTGGAGTTAATGTATTAATTACAAAGAGTCAGCTTATTTTTGTATTATTTATGCTTTATAATGATTTTGGGCATATGTTCCTTCTTTTCCATTTCCATATTTGAGGTTGGTTAATAATAAATAAAAGAAGTCAGGTTAAGCAATCTTTCTTTTTTTGTCAAAGGTCCAGATGAAATTGTAGGTCCAGAAGGCATGGAAAAATTTTGTGAAGACATTGGTGTGGAGCCTGAAAATGTGAGTTACACCTGGAAAGTCTGTGGGTGTCATTTTCCAAACGCAGCAAGCAGTTGTGACCAGTTATTTGGTCTATAAAGTACAATTTCCTAAGGAAAAATTAAAAAGATATAGTCCACAAGTTTAACTGTTAATCTAAATTTCTTACAACACAGAAATCTGTTTTCTATAGAATTATCGTAAGTAGCAAATCAGCAGTTGTATTTCTTGATCTTTAGAATGCTTACCTGAGCCAGTTTTAATTTAACCCTTGCTGGTGTTTTACCCTTTTTTAATTTATGCTTTAACTAAAAGATACATTTTAAATGCATCTGTTCCATTGCCATTTAAGTCTTCCTCCTTGAGTTAATATGTGGGTCTTAAAATGTGTTTTTTCAGATTATCATGCTGGTTTTAGCCTGGAAACTAGAAGCGCCAAATATGGGATTTTTCACCAAGGAAGAATGGCTAAAGGGAATGACCTTGCTACAGTAGGCATCTGTTAACTGTATTTGCATATGCACTACATTTTGAAAATCTGTTTTGGCAGATGCAAGATTTTTTTTTATTTTAGTTGTGAGTTGCATGTTTTAGATATACAGTTGTACTGATTTTGAAGTGTAATGCTGAAGATCTTTTTTTTCTACTCTGCTAGATGTGACTGTACAGAAAGGTTGCAGAATAAGCTTGATTATTTGAGATCCCAACTCAACGATAGTACGGCTTTCAAGAATATTTACAGATATGCCTTTGACTTTGCTAGGGTGAGTACTGTACCATAGTTTATCCCCGCCAACCCATTGGTTTCAAATGATTACAAGGCAATAAAGGACTTCACTTTAGAAGACTGGTCTGAGCTCAATATCTTTGAGCTCATATAACACAATTCATTTTCAAATTTGGGGATTATTTCTACTATTCAAGGAACATGGAGTATTGTAAGGATGTTTGTCTTTTTTAATGTCCACGTTCCTGGACATTGGGCATTGTGGACATTAGCCAACCTGCAGGTGAATGGCAGCGTGTTTTCAATCGGAAGTTCTTATCGATCATTGAAGGTTCTGTTGCACGTCTTCTCCTCAGGACAAAGACCAGCGCAGCCTTGACATCGACACTGCCAAGTCTATGCTAGCTCTGCTACTAGGAAGAACCTGGCCTCTCTTCCCAGTGTTTCTTCAGTTTTTGGAGGTTTGTCAGTTGTTGTTTTTTTTTCTCTTTTTACATCAACGTTATGATGAGCCAGAAGGATTAAAAATATTTGGTTGAGGGTTAAGCCTCATATTTGAGTATATGCTACAGGAATGTATTGCAGCACCTGAGGTACTTCAGCGTGGTTCGTTTAAGCCTCATTACATTATAAATAAGATGCTGAATATGTAGTCGCCCTTTATCAAAGGAGATCTGAATTATATTTTTTGAAAGTACTAATTGTGTTTTCTGCTGTTTTACTTGTTCTCTTTAAGCAATCAAAATACAAAGTAATGAACAAGGATCAGTGGTACAATGTCTTAGAGTTCAGCAGGACGGTCCATCCAGATCTCAGTAACTACGATGAAGATGGAGCATGTAAGTAAATGTTCTCTGTATATCCAGAAAGTAGGAAAAATTAATATAATAGAACTCTCCCTAGGGCTTTTCTCACGTAGGAAATGCAGTGCAACCCTGACACACCAATAGAGTTATAACCTGAAACAGGAGACATTTATTATTTTACTATAAATACTGATGGCTTGGAAAGAAGAGTATTATGACCACTGAAAAAAGGCCATATTGAATAAAACTTTTTTTAAAAAAAAGATACCAGATTATACATTCAATATACAAACAACACTTAGCCAAATATTCATTTGTTCAAAAGATGTATAATTAAATCCCTAATTACAGAGTTGTTTATGGTTAAGTTCACATAGACACACATAAACAACATTCTGAAATTATCAGTGCATTGATACCAGCAACAGCCATTTTTGTGATTGTCGTTTTTGAGAGAGAGAAAAAAAAACCTGCATAATTTCTATGAGAATAAATCCCCAGCATTCTCTTAGTGTGTATTTTACTGCTCCTTCTGCCCCCTCCCCGCAGGGCCAGTTCTTCTAGACGAGTTTGTGGAGTGGCAAAAAGCTCGACTGGCATCATAGCAGGTGCAGAGCACATGTGGATGTTTTCTGTCGGTTCAGAAGGCACACCTCCAAGGACAGTGGAAAAGCCACCAGCCCCGGATTTATCGCTCTGAAGAGACTTTTACAGTGTTAATTGCTTCAAAAGGGGGGAGCCTTTGTGTTTCACGTCTGTCAAGACCGCGCAGACCCAGTGCTGAGCCATCAGCGGGGATTTTCTTTTTCCTTTTTCTCGAGTCTTACCTTGTTTATAGTATATGTTTTCAGAACAGGAATAAAGAATGGAATTGTACCTCTTTTGTGTTTCCTTTGGCCTATTCTGGGAAGTTTTTAAAGGTGGGAATGTCCGCAAATGGGAAGGTCTGTTTTGGCAGGAATATCGAGTTGATGATGGGATAAACTGAGGAAAGTAGAAGGTTTCTGATATGGGTCACATTTTGTTTAAATTTGATTTTTAGAAAAAATGCAGGGCAGTCCTCGGACTGCTTGGGTTTTAATTTACTTTTGAGATGAGCATGTGGAATTAAGCCAAAATCTTTATTTGGCAGAAGCCATTCTGTCTCTTGATCAGTGTAGAAGGACTTTTATTTATGATGCTTTTAAACATTTGATTCCATTCTATCAGTACATATTCATCTTGTAGGGGTAATGTTAAACACAACCCCTTGTAATTATTGGAAAGCAATTTAACAGCGTTGTAACATTTTTCTTGGTATGAGTCTAACTACACAAGCTTAAATGTTTTAATCAAAAGTTATTCTGCAGACCCCCAATCACTTCCTGTGAAAGGCAATACGGTTTACAGTTAGAAATGTATTTTGCGGATTTTATGCAAGCCTGCCATCTAGTGGCTGGAAGTGGGAATCTTTTGCCTAGTTAAAACTTTTTAACTAAAACATTTCCGAAATTAATAATAATAATTGCTTACACTTAGCACTTTTCTGGACACTCCACTCAAAGCGCTTTACAGGTAATGGGGACTCCCCTCCGCCATCACCAATGTGCAGCATCCACCTGGATGATGCGACGGCAGCCATAGTGTGCCAGAACGCTCACCGCACATCAGATATCAGTAAGGAGGAGAGCAGAGTAATGTAGCCAATTCATAGATGGGGATTATTAGGAGGCCATGATTGGTAAGGGCCAATGGGAAATTTGGCCAGGACGCCGGGGTTACACCCCTACTCTTTTTGAGAAACGCCCTGGGATTTTTAATGACCAGAGAGAGTCAGGACCTCGGATTTAAGTCTCATCCGAAGGACGGCCCCTGTTTACAGTATAGTGTCCCCATCACTATACTGGGGGATTAGGACCCACGTGGACTGCAGGGTGAGCGCCCCCTGCTGGCCCCACTAACACCTCTTCCAGCAGCAACCTTAGTTTTTCCCAGGAGGTCTCCTATCCAGGTACTGACCAGGCTCACATCTGCTTAGCTTCAGTGGGTTGCCAGTTGTGAGCTGCAGGGTGATATGGCTATATATGGTTAATATGGTGATATTAACAGAAAAACGCTATAAATCTGTTCCAAATATTACCACATAAGGGACCTGAAGCACTGAAGTAGTTATTAGTAACACTGATAAAGTCTACGAATACCACTGTAAACCGCTGTCATTCATATTTCATAACCACTACTTTATCACATTGCAATTTACCGTTGTATAAACCATTACCTGTTTACAAATTAAATAAGCAATAATTGAGTTTTGTGTATTCATGCAAGGAAACTAACCTTTGTTCAAATCAAGCAATAGTAGGTACGACTACAGGTAAGTAAATTTGAATTAAACATTTGACGCTTTTTAATGGAGGTATCCCTTTTCAATTAAAGTGTATGACCAAATTCATTTAGATTGTGAGTTTGAAGAGGGGGGAGTCAACAGGGGAATGTTTTGAGTGTTCAGTGGTCTGACCCGTTTCCGCAGTCATTATTGCGTTCAGTCGTGTCAGGGACAGCGATCTCTGTTTCAGCCGGGGCGTGTTCCTGTATTCATCAGGATCTTTGATATGACCGTAGAGCTTGCCTTCCTCATCATAGTTGTAGAGCTTAATGACTCGGCGCTTGGCCACCCTTGCCTGCTTCTTGCCATTATCTTCTCTCTCCTCCTGAAATTTATTTTCTTCATTTTCGTTCATGCTGTGTTCTTGGTTTGTGGGGTGTCCTTCCTCCCTCTCTGTCTCAGAATCCTCTTCGGGGCTGCTCTGGCCACTGACTGCTCTGCAGACAGCATTTCCTTCCCCTGTTTCTTCCTCGTCCCTGAGGGGATTACTGCAGATCCCAAAAGTCTGGCTCACCTTGGCTCTAGCATCTTGATCTTTTTCACTGGTTGTTTCCTCTCGCACACGAGATCCTGTGGATCCTGTGTCATCATCTTCAGAAGCTCCCTTCCACCTGCGCAATTCCTCTGAGCTCGGTCTCGTACTAAGATGGGAATGATCTGTCTTGCTTACATCATTTTCTGCTGGCATTTCAAATTTGATTTCAGCAGGCAGTGTGGATGGCCTCTCCTGTGGCACAGCTGAGAGGGGGACTGTCTTGAAATGGGTGTCTTTATTTGGAGAAAGGGCATCGGCAGTCTGTGAGCCAACCACCTTGAAAACGTCTTCCACAGGGAAAACGATGTATTCTCCTTCCTCCTTTCTCTCCTCTGGTGCCGCTGTGCTTCCAAAGGAGTCTAACGTCATGCTGTTTTTGGGAGAGCGTACTGGAGCAGAGCTTTCTATATCTGTGCTTCCTTTGCCTCCTTGACCTTCGGAGGATGCTGTCTCAAGCTCTTCGTATCGAGCCGAAATGTTTTGCGAGAATTCACTCCTTCCCAAACCGGCACTGGATGGGGAGACAGGCACACCGGTGTTTTCTGGCTTCCCATCACTTGGTTTTGAATTTGCTCTACTCTCAGGGTGTGCGTACAAGGTGTTTGTGCTCAAAGGTGGCTTTTCCAGTGTGGCATCAACCACGCAAGGTTCTTTTGAAACATCACCCACCCTGGGAGCACGGGAATCATGGACATTCAGGGTGTTTGTGGTCAGAGTAACTCCCTGCTTTGCACTTCTAACCAAGGAAAGACTCTCATAGACCACTGTAGCCTCTGAGTCCTCACTATGACCCATAACTGGGTTTTCATATTGATGCGGCAGAGTGTCCAGTTTCATGTTTGAGTCACCTCTGATATTGTTTTGCGGATTCATGTTCTTACAGCATCTGTTTAAATAAGACCTGCTGAAGGCACCAAGCACAAATCCACCTAGAAAGCTAAGAGCTACCGAAACAGCGACAGCAGAAATGAAGTCTCTTTCAGAGACAGTGTCTTCATTTCTACTTGCTTCTCTCGTTTTCCTCAGATTCACTCCTTTAACATCGCGCGTTTCCCCAAAATCAACTCTGTACGGAACAATTGTTTTTTGTTCTCTTTCACTAAATAAACAGTAATACAGCCCAGTGTGAAAAACCACAGGCTTCACAATCCTTAAACTTCCATCTCTCAAAACCTTAACAGGATCCCAGCTGCTGTAACTGGCATTTTTCTTCAGTTGTCCCCATGGAGTCTGCCAGTACAGAATTTGTCCTAGAAATGAAGACAAATAAAGATCAGGTTGTCAGTTGTCATAACCAAATTGCCAAATGCCTTGTGTCAATGGGTAACCGTTATCCATGTTTGAACATGGCTTCAGCTATAGCATTCTGCAATTCACAACTGGCAGCCCACTGAAGCTCAGCAGGTGTGAGCCTGGTCAGTACCTGGATGGGAGACCTCTTGGGGAAAAACTAAGGTTGCTGCTGGAAGAGGTGTTAGTGGGACCAATAGGCCCACTCAGCAATCTGCTTGTGTCCTACTGCTCCAGTATAGTGAGGGGGACACTATACTGTGAAAAGGTACTGTCTTGAGATGTAAAACCAAGCTCCTGATTCTCTGTGGTCATTAAAAAATGTTTAAAAGAATAGGGGTATTTACCCCAGTGTCCTGACCAAATTTCCCCCTAGCCTTTATCAATCATGGCCTCCTAATAATCCCCATCTATGAGTCAGTTTCATCACCCTGTTTTCCTCCCCACTGAAACTATCATTTATCGTATGATATCTGTCAGTGATAGCGGGTGTGTGGTGAGCGTTCTGGCGCACTGTGGCTGCTATCATCCAGGTGAGTGCTGCACATTGGTGGTGGCGGAGGGGAGTCTCCATGACCTATCAAGCCCTTTGAGGGGAGTGTCCAGAAATGCTCTTTTAAGAGTGTAAGGATTATTTTCCATTCCTCCAGCTGATTTCTCTTACCTTCCTGGCTGGCTGTCTTACATGCCAGCGTCAGGCCCCGGTCCGCTGGGAGCTGAACTGTGAGGAGGGGGGAGACCCGTAGGGGTCTGCGGCACGTCCTGCGCCCACCCCTCGGTGCTGGCGGCTGGAGGCCCTGTAGGGGCTCTCCTTGGCACCGCGGCCAGGCGGGCACCTGCACTTTCAGCTCCTGCAGCCTGCGGTCGCGCACCCAGGTGTTACCGCCCAGAACTACATCTGCTCCCCGCTCCCAGAGCTCTTGTAGGGCAGCAGGGGGAACGGTTCCCAGCATGTTGCAGCTCAGATTCAGCCTCTGGAAGTGGAGAAAAGACCTAATATGAAATCAACAGCATGCAAAAATCCCAGAAGCTCAATATCTGGCTCTAATACTGTTGCGCCTTCATTATAATTGCATTACAACTGCTTCATATCCTTCCTCCCCGGTTCTCTCTGGTTAATTTGTGTTTTTTTTCTCTTTATCTCTTTATACTGTTTATTGTCTGTTTCAGTCCATATCCCCCCCCCCCCTTCTTTATAAAACCAGTCCTGAGGCGTAAACACTTCACCTGAAGTTTCCCTAGGCCTTCGAATGCATCTTCGGCCACTCTGGAAATGGCGTTGTGCTCCAAGTGCAGAACAGCCAGATCTCGACACGGCCGGAGATCGCCGGAATCAATCGACATGATCCGATTGTGAGAGAGAGACAGGACCCTGAGGGAAGGTGTCCTCTTCAGTGCTGCAAATGCAAAGCTGATAATTATTCCATATTGGCAATTCCACTCCTTCCCTCAGGCAGCGTTCAGTTGAGGCTGGACCTCTGCTCGCTGTACCCAGGACTAAATCTCAGGCTTTGGGTGACTGTACTTTTTCTCTCCCTGCCCCATGGTCGTGGAATGCCCTTCCCCTGATTCTCTGAGAGACAAATTCTTTGACTCCCTTCAAATCTAAACTCAAAAATCACCCTTTTACCAGGCTCATGTGTGATTGCACTGTATTCTAACCTGTATATTCTTGTTCTTTTTTTGTACTTTTTAATTTTTTTTCTTTATCACTATGTACAGCATCCTTGGGTCTTATAAATAAAAGTTATGAGGATGATCTTACACAGAAGAAACATCTCACACGATCGTTCAGCTTCTGTGGAACCAGCAGAGGTTTTCCTTCCTCGTGAATTGTATTTGCATCTAAAGGGTCCTTTGCAGACACAACCGTTAAAGAATATGCTTGTACTGGGAGAGGTGTATTCACAGCAACTTTCACCAAGGCACTAGGATAGCCATTTAGAGTGATTGACACCGAGCACTAAAGACACATTTACTAGCAGTGTTAGCAATGAACTCTTGGAATAAAACATTCTTTCAGTAAAGGCAGCATGATGTGCTGCAATGAGGGAGAAAGCGAGCATTACAGATGTAATTGGAGATGTCCTTTGCTATGTGGGTGGTAATGTGGAACAATGCCAATTAGCACACTGTGGTAAAACGATGAAGAATGGCTTGCATTTAATGTTACATATGTCATTCAGTGGGTGACAAGACAGGGCATCCTGACATTAGCTAACGCAAATTTAAATCAAGGAGACGAAATGAAGGACTGAAGGCAGAATAATGAGAACCAAATGGGTTTTGGCATGGCTGAATGGATAGCTTCATTACACGCCTTTCCCTTAAGACAGAACAACTTGTTTGCTTAATTGCAAATCAAAAAGTCTGCAATGCGATAAGCAGCAGCTTGGAGTGGTTCCAAATTGTGCACCCCTCTCTTGAGAAGCTGCGCTGGAGATTCGGCTGCTCGCTTACCTTGTGGGACGCTAACCAGGCTGTTGTCTTGCAGCCATAATTCTTCCACCCCGGCGAGGCTGTCAAATGCAGAGGGGGGAATGTTCACTATGGCATTGTGTCCCAGGTGCAGCTCCGTCAGCGCAACCAGGCCCCGCCAGGGCCCATGCTGCAAGGCCCCCAGCCGGTTCCTGCTCAGGTCGAGCACTTCCAGGTTAACGAAGCCGGCCAAAGCCCCATCTTGGATTTCGCAGATCCAGTTGCGGCTGAGGTTGAGCCTGACGGTGCTTGGCGCCAGCGGAGGGAAGTCTGACCGCAGTACGCGGGTGATCCTGTTGGAGCTGAGCTCGATGGCGGAGGCTTGGGTGGGCAGGTTGGCGGGGACTGTCTGCAAGCCCCGGGAACGGCAGTTCACCTCCGTGACATTTCCCCCAAGCCTCTTCCATTCACAGGGAGCGAGCGAGTCTGGTGCAGTGACCCCACCATCGGCACAAAGGAGGCAGAAGAACAGGATGAGGTCAGAGCTTCGTAGGGTGATGGCCTCCATATTCCTTTCTTCTAGAACAGATGTGTTTGTGAAGAGAAACCTTAATTCAAGTATCCCATATTTCCTGTACAATACACAGTAGCCTGTTGGCTATCAGATGACAACTATCAGCTGAAAAAACACATACGTAACAAAATACAGCCTCTTTTTTATCATGTGGAAATTTCAAAAATATTATTAGCTTCATTTTGTTTTGCATATTGGGAACTGATTTACTTTTGTGTAATACAGCAAACTTCAGCTCTGGAAAAATTCTTAATTCATTAATACATTTATGTTAATGCATTGATATTTGGTTAGCTGTTGCCACAACTGCATTATGCCCAGATGTCCAAGATACAGCAAACAAATAGGTTATGACTTACCGTCAGGTTCACTTTAAAAAATGTAAAACCAAGAAATACACCTGCAAACTGAATTTAGCGGCTGAGATTGCCCAGATCAGGCCGTATCCCTCTGGGATGTTTTTTCCTTTTTCTTTCAGGGGTATAAAGTGCACTTTTCACATGATACTTCTTGTGTCCTGCTCCATCCTTACAGTTAAAAATTAACCTCTTTTAACATCAGTAAGTGATTAAGGAACTGTGATTCACTGTTTTCTGTACACAACGCAGTGTGTCTTGTCACCTCTTTATCTGAACACAGAACGGGAAGCAGAAACGGAAGCCGCAATTTGTGATCTTAGACTAGAGACCTGGAATGCTGATATTGCTCGTGATTTCCAGTGTTTCAGATGCTACTACAAGACTGCTCATTTTATTGTTTTATTGACATTTTCAAATCCTACTAAACGTTTCTGTATACCTATATTTGTTCATTCATCTAGTCTAAGCATTCTTTTAAAAACGTGGACGTGCTGAGCTATATGACATACTGTTTATATATACAGTATAGCCGGCTTAGTCCCTGACATTGACCAAAAATCTTTTCCAGTATAATCTAATGCTATAGTTCGCCGGCAGAGGATGGCATTGAGCAGTTTTTAACGATTCTAAGTAACCCGGCCTAGCGAGTCCCAGTTTGACCCCTAATCACAGAATATGACGGTATAGGTATCCGCTGAATGTACGACCAGGTAAAGTTTTAAAAATTATCTTTACACATGCAGTTTATTACCCGCCTTTACTCTATGTGGAAGAATTCAATAATACAGTGTAAATATTTTGTTTCACATATATTTGTATAATCCTAAAAAAAGAAACAAATGAATTGTCGTGACACAATCCATCTTGAAGAGTTAATGCGGATGAGACGAAGTTCTACCACTAAAAATGTAGTTCGTGATTACAGTCGCTGTGATGCATAACGCCCATGTTGTACAATCATGGCAAGAGGGAGATAAAACTCGTGGTGAGCGAGAGAGAATGCCGCAAACCACCTGCAGACCTTATCAGCTCGATAAACTATAGCTATGGAAGAAAACGCAATGATCCAAAACACAAAACGCCCATATTGTTTCCAAAAGGGGTTTAAAAAGTTTTAGAATGAGTTCATCGCCGTCAGCCGACTTGGTCAAAAACACAAGCAAAATGCGGCTGTTCATATATAGTGTGCAAAACACAAAATGCGCAAAACATCTCCTCACTGGCGGCGAAGACCAACGCTTTCCGCTTGGGCTTAGCAGAAGTAATCGCACATGCTCAGTTGCAGTTTGGTGGCTGCCTGACGGCTCCTCCCAAGCGTGTGTAAGAAATTTGCAAACAGAGCGAGGATCCGTGCATCGCAGAGCGGGAGGGCTGCAGCACCGGGACAGCTGGATCCCCGGAGAACTGGGTACAAGACGTCACCGAGGGAAAGGGACTCCATTCAGGTGAGGCGCACACACACACAAAAAAAATACCGCGACCCCCCGATGTGTATAATCTGGAAGAGAGAGAAAAATAAAAAAAAAGAACTCGGGGAAGCAGCTGACATCACTCGGAGAAGGAACCCCCGACCGAAATGCGATCCCATTTTTAAAATCTGTTTGTGGCATTCCTTGATCTGAGCCTTCACGACGGTCCATCTAAAAATATGATAGGGGGGGCTACCTTTTTTTTAATCTGTAATTGTGCGGGCTGTACGGCAGAGGTGAACTGAAGTGGCATATGCGTGTAAGGACGGTGTTGTTAATTGCTGTTTTGAGATGTTCAGATCACGGAATGATTTGACTCGAGAGTGTGCAGGGGGCGGTTGTCAGTACGAGACATTTGTGTGGATTAGAAACAAGACGTTTCCCTTGCTGGGGATGTTAAGCTTAATAAAAGTTAAGGGATTAGCAGAACTCAGTTTTATTGCACTACTATTATTGACCACAATGTAATAATTGTTTAAAAAGAGGTTAAGTTAGACATCCATGGAAAACGCTACAGTGGCATTTAGCTTGAAGTTCGAACAGCAGCCACACCGCAGAACTTTATATTATGCATCTGTAATACAACCTTAACCTTTTAAGTGCATTTTGTTGAAGTTTTCGTGGTTGCCTTCGTAGTTTGCTGGCCTTTATGTTCAATTAAAAAGAGACAACTACGACTATGGAGTTGTATTTATAAAATGTTACTATCATGTTTAATCGCGTGAGCCGAAAGCCTAAATTAATGTAGTATACTGTATGTCTATAGGAACAGATTGTTTGAACCCTGGTGTTCGTCGTAAAGCAACAATCTTCAGATTGATTGAAGGTTTCAGTCCCTGTTTCGTCTTCCCAGTTAAAGATGACTCAGCGGAGGTGCTTCTATTTGTATGCGAGTGAAGAGGTTCAACAACCCAGAGAGCACTTGTGTCTAATTTAACCTCCACTAAAAATATTGTCATCATTCCCTGCAGGGGCACACAAAGACCTGGACTTATTCACTTGAAGAAAACCGACTCTATCTGGTATGAAAAGACGTAATTTTAAGTTCTTGTTCACGCAGCTGAAAGACAGTCATGAAATAGATTTCAGATGTTATGAACGGAGCAGGTTTATCCGCTTGCTTACGCTGTAATGTCTTAATGAGGTTTGGAGTTCATTAACGTCCGGTTGGATCTGAATGCCACGGAAAAAAAATGAAACTCGCACTGTCCTGCTTTCACTGAAATATTCCCTTTTATGCACGCTCTCTCAAAGGAAGTGTGTGGGTAGTTAGAAATTGTATACAGGTTAAAAGAAGAACAAAAACATTGAGTGTTCTTTGATATTCGTTGTACATCAACAGGAAGTTTTATATCCGTAGATGGCATGGTCATATGAGGAAAACTGAACGAGGTTATGCACATAACTCTAGTACAATGACTCACATTTGTTGTTGTTTTTCTTCAAAGGAAAGAATCTTACTCATGAAATGGCCCTATGGCAAGCTGGTGGTATGAGGGGATGTTTTAAAACTTGTTCTTAAAAGTTTCTCCCACAAGGAAAGGCAGGAGAGTCCGGACACAAATGTAGTTGTTTTGATGATGTAACAGCAAGGTGTGGTTGCCATTCAGTCCTTCAGCTGTGAGAGATTAGTATTATAGCAGTGGATAACTACAACAAAAACCATGGATGATTCAGTTTTTGAAACTTTGTGTAGCTATTGTGACAGGACTAGAAACAAGGGCATTTAGCCATTTAACTGGAGAATGTTTTGATTTTTAATCATTTTTGCTTCCTAGTTTATTCTTGTTTAGCTAGAATGACCGTTAAATACTGCGTTCTCTGTCAAGTCACACAGTAGAAACTGCTGTGTGTAATGATATCACTTGCATCTAGTTAAACACTAAAAACATTTGCATTGAAGAGATTATTGCATCTGTATATTTGACGGATGCTTTTAATTAACATCCCCAGATGCACTGTGCACAAGTTGTGCGATCAGTCTGCCATTTTTATCCTTTTTAACAGATGTTTGTTTTGTCAGTTAAGTTCACTAACTTTACTCTTTCCTAATTAAAGTGATTGAGGCTACACCACTTCTCAGTTATCTTTTTTAACCTCTGGGGGAACTAATAAGTGACTACACTGTAGCAGATATACTGTACTTCCAGATTCTGTTGTCATTTCTCAGTCGTTAAGAGGAAAAAAGAGAAGCATGAAATACATTTAGACAATTGTTTGAATTCTGAATTTAAAAAAAAAATGTCACCATTGAAGCTTTCTGACTTCCATCCATCCATTTTAGAACTGCTTCTTCCAGTTCATGGCCGCTGGAGCCTAACCCAGCAAGCAACAGGTGTAAGGTGGGATACACACTGGACGGGATACCAGTCCATCACAGGACATACACACTCACACCAGGGCAAAGTGTCTTCTCTTTGGCCTTTGGGAGAAAACTGGAGCACCCAGTGGAAACCCCACATCAACATGGGGGAGCACACAAACCCCACACAGATAGCACCCCAGGTCTGGACTTGAATCCCGGACCCCAGCACTGTGAGGCTGCAATGCTGTTTATGTGAGTCGAAACCACAAAATCAATACAACTTTTTTTTTTCTCCATGATCCGGTTTGCCTACATGCCCAAGTACTGTTTTCCACCCTCCCACAAACTCTTTGCGTGAAGTGTCTGCTCATCTCCGTCTAAAAGGCACTTTCTGTAGCAAAGCACATTCCCGATTGTATGTACAGTACAGTACTGTTACCCGTGGGAGTATGATGTACAAGCGTTCAGCTTAATAGTTGTCATCTCGGATAAGTGTCAGGCGGTTAAATAAATATAAACCACCAGGCAGCAAGTCTCTCTATGCTGCATGCTAATTTCTGTTAATTTATTTGAATTTTACACGTGGAGGCTGTCAGCAGGACCGCACAGTTGTTCTTTAAAGAAAAAAAAGACAGTCCTGGCGGGGCGCTTCTGAGGATATGGGCCGTACAAAAAAAAAAATTGCGCTGTGGGGCGATAGGCGGCCGCACGGCTCGCTGTGTGCCGCCGAGGCTCGGCTTTAGGGAGGCTGCGCCTGCGCCGCGTCCCGAGCCCCCGCTTCGCCGTCCCCGGAGAGCCACCTGCCTGTCAGCGAGCCTGCCGGTGCCCTCACCTGGAACGGGAGGCGACAGAGGGAAACAGAGTGGCGCTGCTGCCTTCACGCCTGTGTTCTGGCTGAAAGCTCCGGGCCATCTGCCACCGCTTCCTCCGACAGCGCTGCTTTTTATTTGCCCCTCTTAATTTGTTTTTTTTTTTTCCTTGGTAAGAAGTTTACCCCTCCCCCTTCTCTCCTCGCCACAATCTGGGTTTTAATACTGTTCTTTATTTAGTGCCTTACCTGGGTACATTGTATAATAAGGGCTAAGGCTCTCCTACGGTCGATTTGCGTCTAGAGTAGCAATGGAAGCACCCTCTGCTTTTCCAGTAATTAGAACAGCACTCTCTACCCTTCTGCTTGTTTTGAATTTTGCCAGATAGATTTTATTTTGTTAACGAAATACCCCTCCCACCACGCCTTGTTGCCATGCCAATAAAAAGTACTCGAACCATTGCTCGTTCTTGAGCTGGGATATTTTGTGAGTTTTCAATTGACTTGGGTAAATGTCTATTTTCTGCTTTTTAGTGGATAGGAAAAAAAATGTGCCTATTGATTGCAGCCTTCATTGGATCTTTGTTATCTAAAGCAGTTAGTCAGATTATATTTTTAGCATTTTGTGATAAAATGAATGGAAACGTACAGTGCAGCATGTACCACACTCTTTTATCGTACTACTGCAGGAATATTTGAACAGAATTGTTATTCTGCTCCCCGTGAAAGATCCCAGTGTCTGTACTGTACTACTCTGCTAGTTCAATGCATTAAATCGAAATGAAGAAAGGTGACTTGCGTATGGAGGCTCCAAAATATGGGATTTGGTTGCAAGTACTCTGCCAAAAAACAGAAAATCCAGGAAAGGGGGAATCAATTTTTTTCCTGATTATTTGGCAGTCCAAAAAAGTCACCTTAAATGAGCTTGCTGTAGGAGATAGTGGTGTGTTAAGGTTGCGGTGTGTGATATAGTGTCCATATAAGTTAGCACAAATTGACACATGCACAGGAAACTTTGTGTTTTGGTCATTCTCAGAAATTAAACTGAAGCCTCTGTGACATATGATGCAAGCTGACGCCCATATGACACAAACAGCATGAATGCCTGAATGAAGCTGATAAGATGCTTGAGAGTTTCATTTGGCAGAGCATGCTGGCATGTAGTTGTGTGCAGCTTATCTCAGGGTAAATCTTCGACTTCAGAAACATTTTACAGAATTTCTTATGCACCCTTGACATATAATTAGGTGGACCTTGAAGCTAGTTTACTTAACATGTTTTCTATCTGTTTTTATTTTCTTATGTGGCTCCCTGTCCCGATGTTGCACTTCAACAAAATGCCAACATCAACAGATCCTCAGTTGGCAGTGCTGTTTTCGTCTATGAGCATCACATTTTATTCTGTCTGTCCTTGCAGAGTAAAATCAGCATTGGAGAAGAGTTCGAGTGGAATGCAGAAATCCAGTGTTGAGGGTCAGTGTTAATTATTAAACAGCTGGTATGCTGAGTAAACAGCTACCGTAGGGGCAGAGATGGCAGCTGAGGATTGTTCTTCACTATCGGTCAGATAATCAGTGTATTTCTGGTAATTGATTCTAAAAGAACCCCGCTTCTTTAGGTGAAGCATTATAAGACTGTAAAAAGACAGTTATAAAGTTTTCTTAAAGTAAAGTAAGTTTGTGCTTTCTGTATTGTATATAATGAAGCACATGGGAAAGGGTATTGGATAGAATTTCCATTTTTTCATGGTTTAAATCACAGCTGCAGTTAACTGGCAGTTTCCATATCTCTGGGAGCAGTGATGGTTCCCAGATCTAATTCCATGTTGCTGTTTTTTCTGTCCTTTGACAACCAAGTGTCTTTCTTCCTACGATAATATTGCGCAAACAATAACAAGATTAGAGCCTTGCCTGTTTTATCCCATGAAGGAATCTCCTTGACAACATGGTTTGGTTGCTAGAGACTAATTGCAACAGAACTCATTTACGCAGTGCTCTCTCCAGTGAGGCCAGGTCAGCCAGAAGAGCATCAGGTTGAAGCCAGAACTCTTGGCGACATTTGAATTATTTGAAATTTGAAGGCACCACCTTTACATTTTTTAAAGAATTATAGGTATAAGATTAAAGTCCATCACCTTGGAACAAGCAATAGAGCTAACAGGTTGTACATACACGTGGTGGTTTGGTCTCAATTTTCACAGAACATTTGTAGATCTTGACACATCCAATGTTTGAGCAGAATACTAACTCATGAAGTCCCAGAGTGAAATAGTTAGAGGACGTTTCCATTTCTGTACTACAGCAATTACAAAGCTGTAGAACATTTTCTGACTTCTGTGTTTGTTTATTTTTTTTCTTTTGTGAGGTGTGCTTCACATTTGGAACTGTTTGTGAATTTATATTTTAGTGAAACTTTTTGTGCAGATCTGCTGTGGAAAATATATTTTTAGTCATGCTGAGACTGTCCGGTCTTGGGATATGTGCTCCTGTAGTGTTTTATCTTTCAATCAGACGTGCTTTTCACACCTAAGAAGCCTAGACAAAAAAAATGCCTTTATTGAGTGTTTTAGGTAAATCAGATATACAAGACCAACATCTACTGCAACCTGACACCAACACAATACCTCTGTTGAACTATAGTCATGTGTATCAAAGCAAGTAATGTTTTGCAAAAACACACTACTGTAACAGATACCATGTGTACATGTGTTTTAGAAAAGGTAACAGTCAAAGAATGAATTTTGTATAACCAGTACATTGTAGTTACAAGGTTATTGAGCACAAAATCAAATGAAAGGTATGCTGTATGCTGCATCTGTATTTGGATAATTCTGGTTAATCTTTTTCCACCATGATTTGCTCTTGGTAGAGAAACAGGCTCTGTGAGTGCAATGTCAAGCCATTGTGACCTTAAGAAGAGCACTCTCTGTGATTATCTTGGGTTTAAATTGCTTCTGTCTGGAAGTGATAGCGTTTTGAAGATGGATAGGGAATTCTCCAGCCTCAATATTATGATGATTAGCCCTGTCTCTAATAGTGTCAGTCTCCAAGGTTATACCCAAATTACAGGCGATAGATCTATGACAATAAAATTATGTCAAAGCAGTTCTGGCATTCTGATGTCTGCAAATGGGAGTGCATCTACATTACAGCCAGGTTAACTCTGTGTGTGACTGGGACTTGCTTAGTGCTGCTTGCGTTTTTTAAAAAGAATAGATGGCACCTGTGGTAATCACTTTTTTGGTTGTTGTCATCCCTTTGTTTTGAAAACCCCTCCCGGGTAGCAGTAATAGTGTCCTGGCTCAGTTCCAGTTCAAGTTGTTTCCCTCCAGCTGACACAAGTTTCTGCCTCCGTTTAATTGGTCACCTGAATGATCTCCTTTCTGCCTTGTCTCCTGTGCAGTGAGCTACTGTCACATAACAGGGGATCCTCTGCCCACATGTAAGTACGCTGGGATCCTGTTTGATGAAATGTAGCAAGCTCCTTATAAGTAAATAAAGAAGCAACATTCCATTGAGCTGTACTTATCAACAATCTCACAAAATATCCTCCTTCGATGCAAGTGTTTTTAAGGGATGTCACTAATGAAACACATTTTCGCCTGGTGTTTCTAGTCAGACCATTGGTCCTCCTTCTCGTTTGTCCACAGAACCCACTGGTTAGTTTAATACCCACAGGTGTGATAGTTTCCCTTGCCTGCTGTGTTTCAGGCTGCAGTATGTTCTCATCAGTGAAGGCCTATGAGAACCAACAGTATTCCTCTCTGAAGAAACAGTGCCAACAGAGTGGAGGGCTGTTTGAGGACCCCCTATTCCCTGCTGTTGATGAGTCACTCTTTTACCAGGGCAACAGGATTGGCAGAGTGCACTGGAAAAGGCCTAAGGTAAGGCGTTTTAAGACAACTCCCCCCCCCCCCGGAGACAAAAACACAGATGTGCTGAGTCACAGCATGTGTGAATGTAAATGTGTAAATAAGCACTTTCAGTTAAATGATACAAATTTCATGTTTTCAAGCTTTGCAAAGACGTACAGCCCACGGCATGAAGCCAAATTGTCTTTTAAATGTGTAATAGAAGTATTTTGGGAAATCACTGGACAGATATGTCAAACACTGTACAACCTATAGTTCGGAGACTTACCCACCAAGCTACTCTGCCCCCAGCTTTTGCAAAAGTGCAGTATGTGAATCTGGATCTATGCCAGACCACCAACTACAAAGATAATTTCTGCAGAATTTAAGATACAGAGTAAATCACGGTGTCTTTTGTGTGGGTTTCATAAACATGCAGCACGCCTTGTCTGATTTAAGTACATGATTAATGGGCATCTGGATCAATCAGCAGTTTTCAGAGTTGCAGATAACGGCTGTCTGGAGATATTCGAGATGGCATAGAAAAAGTAAAGCTCAAGGGACCAAAACATTAGACTAATTGCTGGAACTAGAAACTTGGCAAATACTGAGAGGGTCAAAGTCAATTTCTCATTTGTGGTCTCAGCTGTAAGTTTAACTTTCTGAAAGTTTAAGCGCTACAGAATCTAAAGCAGCATTAAAATAAAAGAAGCCTTTTTGAAACTAGAAACCTTCAATTAAAATGCAGGAGTTAAATTCAACATTTTCTTAGCCACAGAGTATAGACTCAAACACAGAGCACCTTGTGGTCGCCCCTTCCATAACAATGAGATATGGTCAGAACAGAAGTTTATCTTTCTTGCCAGAGAAACAGGTCTGAGTTTAGTTTAACTCTTTCTCTGTTTATTTATCCTGCTTGAAGTAGATGTTAACACAACTGCATGCAGGTACTGTAGATGATAATGTACATTGAGAAATGATTGGCAGGTGTGATCCACCTACAGAGGCATCATGTTCCTCTGCATTTGAGGCCATGCCAGAGAGCTAGAGGAGAGCCTTCATTCATTGGGTGAAACTAAGATTTAGAAAGAGCAATGGGAGATTTCATACAAAAAGTGGAACAAGACAGACCCTGCTCCCTTAACCTAACTTTATGCTACAGCCTTCTCATTGGGGTTTGTAAAATGGCATGTGAGGTACCATGTACAGTATATTAGTCTATGTTTCCTCCATAGAGAGTCCAGCATTGTGAAGTGTGACAGATTCTTTGAGGTGGTTTTGTACAGCTGTTCCCCAAGGCAGGGTGTGACTCAATGCATCTCGCACTGCAACTCTACCATGTCTCTCGGTGACGTGACTGGGCTGCTCACAGCGGGGAGGTTAATGGAAATTCAGGGATATTCGGAGCTCTGGGAATCCTCAGGTTCACAGCCTGTCTTCACTTACGTGTGTCAGCTCTGTGCCATTAATTCACAGAACTAGGGAACTAAAAGTATTCCTTTCTAGTCTTTAGTTGGCTCAGAGTGCTTGTTGTAATTATTAGGCCATGAAGACATTTTACAAATACAGTCTTCTGTATTAGCAGCTTGATATTGGGACAGATCACGTTCTTTGACAAATGGTGGTGTTTTTAAAGTACAAGGCACCACTGTGTTTCATTGAGGGACAGAATGACATTTGACCAGTTTCAAAGAACTCCAAAACCCTCTCATGTACCTGTTTTATTGTGAACTGAATGGCTTACCATTAGACACATTTGAAAGTATTTTTTAATCATATGATATGTGCAAATGACAAATTTTATAGTTTCATTTTCACTGCATAGTCCTTCAGGTCTTGGACAGTATATACAAGATATATATATATATTATCAAGACATGTTTTCAGTTAGTTTTAATGAAAATTCAATTAGGCCTCTACTTCCTCCATTATCTTAGTTACTTTTCATTCACTGTAATGTCTCTCTTGTGCATGAACGTCTTCTTGAAATGGGAGTTTTTTGTGGTTAAGCTTCACTCAGAATTAAGAACATAAATTATGCATAAGCGATGCACTCTGGCTCTCTACCACATCCGATAGGTATTGAATTAAAACAGAAGGTAGGCCTGTATCGATACCTCTCTCTCTCACATGACGGGTACTGAACCAAGGCAACAAAAAACAAACTTATACTCTTTCATTTCATCGTTCTCTCTTTCACTTATTCTTTCAAACAGGTGTTGGTTTGATTTAGTGCTTTGCCTAATGCAAGCTGTGATTTTCTAAGTTCAATCCTGCCAGACATGATGTTTCAAATAATAGTTATGGGAATGTGTGGGCACATATGTTGAGTACTAAAGCTATTTTTTGTGATTAAGCATGCAGTGGGGTCTCAGATGTCTCAGTCCATCGCTATGGAGTGAAATATGATATATGCCACTTAGTTTGTGTGGGTTGCAATCTCAAAGAAAATTGCATTAGAGCTTCAGAAAAAGGGTTTTAAGTGTTGTGCAAGTTTACAGTTTTATTGTGCTCAGAATACGAATAACTTGAAGAGAACATTAGCACTAGTCATGTAGTGAATGTTCTGTAATGCAGGTGGGTACTATTATTCCTGGGGAAGGGTCAGACTGAAAAAAAAAGATTTGTGTGCACTGATATTATTTTTATGAAGGATTATTTTAAAATCTGAATAATAACAATAGGAGATTTTCAGGGGGCTGGTCACGCCAATAGCCTTGAGAAAATGAGCTAGTGGCCTTCCTCCTGATCTCTGGGTAGGATTAAAAGTTATATTTGTGGTTCCGTAGGTCTGAGTCAGCAGATTACTGACCTTTTACTGCCCAGGCTTCTCTTCATTCAGAAAATGCAATTCTTTAGGTTCAACAAGGGTGCTCAGAAACACAGAAGGCAATAATGTGTTTTAGTCAAGAACAGACTGTATCTCATTATAGTTCAGTGTTGCAGATTTTAACTATCAGTCAACATAAAAGGACCCTGACTGTGAAGCAGAATATGGTTTAGGTTGTCACAGAGCTGTGTATAAAATGTTTCATAGATGCATCCTGGAAACCCTGGATTTGTGTGGGGAAATAATCATTATGGGGTGCTCACATGATATTGGAGTTGCATGCTGCAGTTCACATTCATTTTTCATTTTAATTCTTGTTTTATTGATTGTTTTTTTATAGGGTTATTGATTGTTTGTCTAATCAGAAATCATTATCTGTGCATTTGATATAAATAAATGTAGCCGACTGTTTGCTGCATAGAATATCATTTATCTAATCATTTATGATAGAAATAAATCACCTGATTCAACTGGCTAGTTCTTGTCTGAACTCCAGAGCAACTTATCACAGGCATAAGTGGAGCCTTGGTAGTAAAAATGCAGATACCGTGAAACAGTTTTCTGTCCGTCCAAATAGTGTGAGGCTAAGAAGATATGAAGATATGTTTTGATTCTAATGTGCTGTGTGCAGTAAAACACACTCATGTGAGTTTAGAAGAGAATTAATACGAGTGGGGCAGAATTATTGGTTTCATCAGTTAATGCAGCCCTGAGAATCTTATTTGTGGGAATGGTCAAATGGATATTGTATTGATACCGCCTATCCAACAGTTGGTGATGCTGGGTTTGGGGGTGCCTACATTCTTAACTATAAAGCCTTTGTGTTGTACCAGTTTTCACATACTACTGTGAATTTTTTAAGGATTCGCATGTTTAGATAAGGTTTCATCTACTGGATTGAGTTCTGATGGAGCAATGTTGTTAAATCGTGTATTGTATCATAGTACAGTATTCTACTGGTGTTGCCTCATATGTTTATGAGCTCTTGATATGCAAGATAAATTCCCTTATGGGCAACAAAGATTAATTCAGTTCAATTTTAACCATTCTTAGGGCAGAGAGAGATAAAGAAATGGGTGCTTTTGATCATCTTGGCCAGATTTAGAATGAGATTGTGAGCTCTCAGCCACAAACTCACAGGGTAAACTTGCTACTGGAAAGGAAATCTCACTCCCTGTAGCAGACACAACAAGGCCAAGTGTTTTGCCAACACATATGATTAAAATTATTGAAATCTAAGCTCCAACAAAAGCGAAACATTTTGTTTAAGGCAGATTCATGACACACTTTCAGCTAAAACAGCAATGTTTCTTAGCTGTGCTGGTCTGAATAGATTTTAAACAAAGTAATTAGCAATTAAGTTATCTTTGATTAGATTTACATCCTTTGAATGTAATGTCACTCAGGTATAGTAGTTTACATGCTTTGTTAATATGTTGTAGAAAAGCTAGGATTAAACCTGTAGTGTTTTCAAGATTACATAAGAGTTCTCTCTATGAACTCTTTTTTCCCTCTGCATACTGCAGTGTGTTCCTGTGTCTCTGAGCAGCAGAAGTCATAAATCGGAACGTTACTGAATCATTTCCGGGTGTCAAAGCCAGAGAAGGATCTGAAGTGAAATAGCAGCTAGAAAAGAGAGAACCAAAACAGAAACCAGGTTGTTGCTGTTTTTTAATTTTATTTCTATTCTTTGTTCTGGGGAAGAGATCTAGGATTCCTCTGGAACAGGTTTTGCTCATTAAGAGTGGGTTATCCCTTGTGCTGTGGAACAGATATTTCATTATCTCAATCCTTTTTTTGTGAGATTAAAAATACTGTTAGAAATAAGAATTCACAGGTTGTTAATGTGCAGAGGAAGAACTGCTTCTTTTAATTGCTCTAGCTGAGCCACCGTGTTTTGCAGATTTTATGTTTGGACTTGTTTGTAGGACTTAAAAATCTCTGATAGTGGGAGAACGGAAATACCTTTGAAAAGGAAAGGAAACTTAAAGCTGAAAAATAAGCCTGATTGTCATGGCTGCCAGTGTGATTCTGCTGCAATGTTCATGGTAATTCATAGCAGCCAATAACAGGTTCTGAAACACTAAAGATTATTGCTCAGTAAAATGCAACTGGCTTTGCATTTTATTTTGAGGGCACCTTTAGTTCTACAGTGCTTTCAGATTTCACATGGAATACAATACAACACAAATCCATTTTTAGTTAGTACTTTTTGGGCCTTAGCAGTTTAGAAACCTAAAAACAAGGTATATGCAAAGACAAACCCAGTTCCAGTTCATTTGTTTTAAAAGCAAAAAGACAGGTTCTCAATTAGGTTTTGAAACATTCTAGTCTTGTGTAAGAGTGTTTCATATTACAAATAATGAAAATTACATACAGTAGTTAACAGTATTACAGTATATTGGGGTAGTGATAGCAGGGCACTTTGTTAGGGTTTAGTATTTCAACTAATATGAAAGGTAAACTTTAGTTTAATCTCAATGTATTCTTTACTTTTTATGACATTTAAGTAGCTATATTCATGAAACATGGGTGTGGTAAGATGGTCTACAATCTGCTGAATATTTGCAGAGAGTTTGAGAAGAATAACCAGTCTGATTGGTTCTTGAGGCAAGGAGACATGAAAAGCTTAAAGCTTAAATACCTATTAACCCTTCTAATATATGGTGTATCAACTGAACATAATTTAAGGAGAAATAGTTTGAAAGCCAGGGAAACTGGCTCCTGGAGACATTTGTTGGACAGGAGACCAGTGTGTATAATTTTATAATTGTACAATTTAAAAATAAATGTAATAAAACCTTCTTGTCTAAAACTTTTATCTTGACACGTTTTGCAGGATATACTGTACAGTATAGAGCCGGTTATGTGTTTTGTTGCAGATGTCTTTCAGTTCAAAATCACCTGCTTGCCTGAGCACAGTAGGATCAAATCAAAAGGTCACGATACAATTGGTTGATACAAATGCCCATCAGGAAACACAGATCTGGACGATCTGATCTGGATGACATGGTGGCATGATGGGACAGCTGGGTGCAATTTAGATATTCACCCAGTGGCGCATCCCCTACCAAGAAAAAGCAGCTGTCTGCCAGTATATAGATTTTTGCATAATGATGCAGAACAAAGGACTAGTGTTCTGGGAGTTGGGGTAACTGTATAAACAGAGCAGTGTTCATTTGATTTGTGCATTGCAGCTTCTAGTGTCATGCATTGAAAATCCTTAATCCATCTGTTACCTGGAAATGCCGATCCATTTGTATTACCTTTTCATGAGATTTCAATTTATTTTAATTGTCTTAAAGTGGATTAGATTCATTGACATTTTTTGGTTGCTGGCAACACATTCGTTTGATGTCCATGTGATGGGGGTGGAGGGGCTTAGGAGTTAGCCATCCCTGAGAATTGTAGCTCCAAGAGATGGCAGATTTATTTCTCAGAGTGAAGATCAGCCTGTTCCGTCGAAGATTGTTTGTATAGGATGATGATTTGTGTTTACTGTGCTGCGAGAGCCACACCACAAGATCATGTAACTCTGCTCCAGGCACAACCTTACTGACGTCCTCAAGACTTCAGTACTGCATTCCAGGTGATATGTGACTCCTGTGTTCAACTTTCATGTCTTTTGAGATTGCTCTTAAGGAGTATTGAGTTGTTTCTAGCCCTTGACAGATTTAAGTATTGAACTTTTGTGCTTAGTAGACATTAAGTACAGATGACAAGAGGGAGGTTTGTGTCTTGTTTACTTTGTATTTTTTTCAGCTTCTGTCAGCCACAGGCACTGACCAGATTGCACAAAATAATGTTGCACAGAGACACAGAGTCTCCTGATTATGAGACAAACTCACATTTAAATCGGATGAAATAAAAACAATTTAAAATGAAGTACATTTCTTTAAAATAGTCAAAGAAAATACCTTTCATATATTATTTATAACTGTATAATGTCTAACCAGTAGTCTCTATAGGGGTATTCAGAGTAATTTGGTTCACTTTTTACTGGTCTTCTTTTGGCAATATCGCGGGAATTAATGGTCCATGATTTAGAGGTCACATGGCAGAACTTGCATAAATTAGAAGGATGTTCTTGTTCTCTTTACATGCACTCTACTCACACGGTTGCTTGTGCTGTTCCATGTTCCTTCCTCGCAGACTTTCTTAGTTTTACGTGTGCCGCTTAGTTTTTCATCATTTAAAGTGTGTTCGGTCGTTTTGATGAGGTTGACGCAGATCTTCACAGCACTGCGAGAGCCGACTGCCTGCCTTTATCTCTTTCCCAAGTAACATTTGCCGGTAGTAACTCGCTTCACTAGAAGCACGAATGCAAATCACCAGATTCTAGCACAGCAACAAATTGACAACAACACAGTCTGTAAATAAGCACTCCCTATGATCAATTTGGAGTTCTATAAGTTTACATCCAACGTGCAAAGCAAACGCCTTGATTAAACGTGGCATAGAGCTCCTAGCCTCTGCCCTCTGTATAGAAGGCTTTGTCACATAGTTTACTGTCTATTCATACTGTGATTCTTTCATTCTGGTCTTGCCTTTCTTTGTGTTTGCCTTCAACAGAACAGTATTGTTTGGGTTCAGGGTGGAGCTGAGCTGTAAGTAATTGCTGTATAGCCTGTTTAGTGATTGTGACATGTGTCTTGCCACTTACACCAGTGATGTATCCCTGTGCTCTTAGTAGATTCTGTGCCATGTTAGTAACTGATGAACTGTTCCAAAGCTTTTGTCCTGCATGAAATTATTTAAGTGTAGTCCTACAGTACAGAAATCGAAAACAAAGCTTAATCTAGAAAAAAACAGGAGCTGTGTGCTACCCCAGCTGCTTGCTGTGTAAATGCTTGCTATGTACAGAGGTATTTCTCACTTACTTAAGCCATCACCCATTTTGGCCAGGTATTCCTGAGGCCTTCTTGAAGTTAAGGTTAGTGCCACATGCTTGAGTCTAAATTCAGGCTCAGGATTATTCTTACACCTGCAAGCTGTAACATTTTTTGTCATTTTCACATTTAACATTTTTTTCCATTCCAAGACAGCAGCAGACACAAGCTGTGAGTGTGCTAACTAGAGGCATACCCAGTGCTGTCATGAGCTATATTGTCAACTTGATTTATAGTGGGTGAGCTGCACTGCCTACTGTAAAATGCAACGATTACTTGCTTAATTAATGAGTCCCTGCCATGCTTCATAATGCACTCAATCCACTTTGCTTTCTCTCTCTCTCACAGGAGCTGTGTGCTGACCCTCACTTGTTTGTTGATGGGATCAGTGCTCACGACTTGCACCAGGGACAGCTGGGAAACTGCTGGTTTGTGGCGGCCTGTTCCAGTCTAGCCTCCAGAGAGTCTCTATGGCAGAAAGTAAGCCTTGACCTTCAGATTAAAGATGCTACGTTTTCCAACTCCTGAAGGGAACAGTATAATTATTAAACTTGACAGTTTTCTTGGCTGGTCTGGGGAAACCATTCTTTATGTACAGTAAACACAGTTCCCTCCTATCTGCTGAAAAAATGATTAAGGCCACAGTCCCCATTAATCGCCTTTTTTATCTGCCTAATTCCAGCCATCCAGTTTTCCGTAGGCTGGATTAGATACTGATGAAGAGGTAAAAAAAGATCCAGAATTCATTGTGAGTTATATTCAATATGCCCACATTCTTAGATGCAGAAGACCAATAAATGTGGTTATGACTTCATGAATGAAGACGGGAGAAAATAAAATAGATTGTACACAGATGAAGAAGAAGTTAACGGTGTCTTGAACTCGTCTTGTGTCTTTGAACCCACACAACAGGGCTTGTCTTTGTGACTCTCAGCCCAAATGACCATTATCCAGTAATAGTGGACAAACTATCAAGCAGACAAATGTTTCTTTATTGCTCTATGACAGTGCTGTTGTTTCTTTGATCTATTATAGTTAAAACAGTGAGCTCTTTCTTGAAAAACACTATTACCTCCAAAGGCACGCTTTGGAAAATTTCAGACAACATCCTGTTATGGTTCATTTTATTGAAATTTTCTAGATGAATTCCTGATTGTACTTACCATATCTTCTTTTATCAGTACAGAATTCCATATGATAGATTGTTAGGTGATCAGTATTTTGTGCACGTTTCTTTTGAGTTTGTAAATGCAGATGTTAGTTGTCTTTTTATTTAGAGTGAATCTAAGAGCACTGAATAGATTGGAAGCATAATAATGTGCTTTGGCAGCAGCTTTGTAAGGGTGGACAACTAAAAGCACATTTTTGAATAATATTCATTGACCAAGATCAGTGATGGGGGGGGAACGTTACTGATAAAAAAAAAATCAAGACAACTTATATTTTTAATGATCTAGAATCAACATAGGTGACTTTTTGTATTTTTTTTCTTATTAGTCTGACAATGGAATGTGCTTTCTATGCCACGTGGTCTGTACAGTAGATACCACTGTCAAATCGTAAAATGCTCCGTAACAGTAATCCCTAACAGTTTTGTTTTGGACTGGCAGAGATTTGGCATGGTGTGGGTGTGACTACAGGCAGGAGGCCAGCTATTCATGATCTTGTAAAGGACCTGCCCAAAGGCTAATTGAAACTGACCTTTAAAACATATGGGATCTTGAATTCAGTATCTTATTGGATTTTAAACCTTGGTGAAGTTGGTTCAGAGTTTTCATTGAATTCTTTCAGCTGAAGGTATCTGAATTATCTTTAAATATAAAGGGAGGGGCTTTTGTTTTGGGGTAGTGATTTTCTGTGCTTCCAGTAAGAGGACAGTTTTATAACGAAAATGGATTAAAATAACAGGACAGTATATAATACAATAATCCCTCAGATGAGAGCCAGACTGCTTCCCAGTGACCTGTAATGTCCAGAGACCTGTGGCTGTGGCTATTTGTGTTATGTGTTCATTGCCCACGCTCACGCAAAAACATTGGGGGGGGGGAAAAGGAAATATTTTTCCACTTCCTGAAATAATTGGTTGGAAACACACCACCTCTTGAAAAGGATGCCCCTGTCTTATTGTGCCTAAGGGGAGTAAAGTTGATGTCGTGCTCAAATTAAATTATCCAAGGTTCTGCTAAACTGTGACTCATGCACGAAATTTGCTTATTAAAATGTCCCGTGTATTTCGCAATCCTGATGTGCTTATGCTCGAGCATGAGAGCTATGTCGACTGAACCACAAAGATAACAGGTAAATATTTTTTTACGCTCATGAATGCCTTTAAAAATGCTTCCATTTTAGATTGTAGTCATGGATTTACATACCTTTTTTTTCCTCATGGTTAACCCATTAATCATTTTAAGCCCTCAATCTTAATTAATGTGTCACAATCAAGCATTCATAGAAGGTGTGATTGAAACCCTTTCCTGCCTCACCATTCACTAGTGATAATGTGAACCGCTGGCAGTGTAGCTGTTTAGCACTGGAAGTTGTATCTAGTTCAGAATGATCTGATTAACAATTCCCTTTTTCACATACAACTCCGTAGAGTGCCGATGTTCACAGACACCTCCTTTCCTCCCCGGGCCTCATTACTGCCTATTTCTGCTTGCGTTTTTGTCGATGTTTCACTAGAACATCCTTTCCCCAGCTCCCTATTGTTTTCACCTACACTGGAAATTTTCTAACCACACAGTTGCGTAAGATACTGCTGCTGTCCTGTCAGACACTACAAGGTCTTTTTTTTTTCTTCGTTCTGGGCCCTCAGCTGCTGTTGATTTCTGTACGACGTGATGTGGATCACAGAACTTAAAACAAGCCAGTTCTAAGAAGAATGCCCTTCTATGAATTGGCGTGTTTTAAGTTCTTCTTATGCCCTTGGTGTGAAGCGTCCCAACTCAAGACAGTATCCCTTACCATCAGCTTGGGTTTAACTGATAAAATCAGTCATTGGAACAGTGACGTCTCTCGGGTCAGCACTGGTTTTAGAAATGTATTCTGTGCATCCTTTACACTTAGTCGTGCAAAAAAAATAATGTAGGTCCAATTAGCTCTGTCTTGAGGGATTAGTGTGAGGGTTTCACTTCATAAACTCAGGGTAACCATGGCCAAAATTACAGACTGTATTATACACACAGTAACATCAAGAACCCATGAGCTGATTATCGTATTCAGACCTTGTATTAATCATTAAGGCCATAATAAATATGTACCTACTTTTGTGTTTCATTTTTCTTTAATATTGTGAGTTAATAGAGGGAAGTAAACACTTCACTTTTAAAAGGCACTAATAATTATCCTGATCACAGTTTTATGTTTTTCACACATTATGAAAACTCTACCACTTTACAGATTATCTCTTGACGTACGTTTGTGTTCAGAGAGAATAACACTATAGCTTTATTTTCCAGTTTAGATTCACACTGTAACATCAGTATTGCATGTTACCATCTGTAGGATGCTGCATAGCAAATGCAAGATGGTGAAGCCACTTATTCCAGTGGGTAGTGCAGGAGTATATGATAAATGACACAAGAAACGCATGGATAAAAATATGTAGTTTAGGTAAGCATTTGGTATTTTGAAACAGATTATACTGCTTTTACTGGTGGATCTTCATTCTCACAAATAACTAGTAAAATTCTCAGCTATTTAACATGTCACATAGGTAATTCTATTCAACACAGAAACTGGCTCAGCAGGCCAAGAGGTCTTCTGGTTTGTAGGCCTGAGGCAGTCAGAGACCACGACTCCCCCTCCTGGATGGGGAGGTCAGTCCATCACAGAGCCTAGACCCAGCAATACTGGTTCCATTTCTTACAGCTGGGTGGGTTGGAGCAACTAGGGTCAAATAGCTCACTGAAGCTGCAACAGCAGTGTCTGCAGTAGGGACATGAACCCACAAGTCATGAGCCCAGGGGCTTGCCCACTTTACAATGCTGCTCTAGCAACACACCACATAGCTGATATTCACTCCTGGAGAGCCACAGTAAACTAGTATTTATACTGTAGGTAACCTTTCATCGCCAGTGAGTAAAGAGCTGGAAACAGTGGTTGTAGAGAACAATTTAGTGAACACTGATTTGACTAAATTCATTAAGAGTCCAGGGTGGAATGAAAATCAGAAGATACTTTTGACTCTTCAGGACCAGGAGTGCATACTGTATCACTGTTATTGGGTAATTTTAGTCTGTGGCTGTAGTGTGTTTGTTCAGGACGGACTGACAGTTGCAGACTTTGATACCCAAAAATTAACCTGTTTTTTTTTTGTGCCACAGATTTGGTCCCATTTTTCCTCATCATTTGCACTCAAGTATGAAAGACATGGTTGGCTTGATTGGTTTGGATAGGAAGTGCCATAAATGAATCCTGCAGTGTGATTCACCTTTTACTGTTCTGATTGGCCAGCGTTCCCCTTAAAAACCTTTTTTGCAGGGATGGGGAAGCTTTAATCAGCTGGAAAGCTGGATTGAGGAGATACTATGTTAAATCTTGCCCACACGTAGTCATTTAACTGATTTCCTAAGTGGGAATGCATGCAGTTGAGTTACAGAGGAACTGGCTGTTCCATAGGAAAATACGTCTTCTAAAACATCCCAAAGTAACACTATTTTCTGTCAGAGGAGCTACTCTAGGATGTCTGTTTTTGCGTTTGATTAGTGGAATAAAAGCACTTGTGCCTGGTTTAAACAATTCTTTGTTCCTATAGCCGCACAAGGTGTAAGTTTAGAAAAATGCTTCTATTACATTCTTTTCAGTGTGCAGAAACGTTTATTTACTGCATTAAACCAAAATGTAATACATTCTCATATTGCACCATGAAGTCACACATTTGCATTGTCATTTGTATCAAGGACCTTTCAGAAAAAAAGATTCTTATTCCTCTTGAGGAAAAGGAGGAATACAAGAAGCAGCTGAAGATTAGAATCAGAATAATTTTTTTGTCTCTTAGCAAGATGTCATCATGTTAACAGTGTACATTATGTTAACATTTATGCCCCTTTAGCCAAAATAAGTTTTAGGAGAAAGTTACCTGTTTCAGAGAGAGCACCCTAGTTGGTGGATCTCCTTTTTCAAACTCCTTCAAAAAGCTCTGATTTTTTAAAATGTGAGCAGCAGGGTACAGTTAATTTTAATGTTAATAAAATGTACAGGTAATATCTCTGTAAAAATATGCCTCACATTCACAATACTGATTTAAAAAGAAAAGTGGTGCACAAATCTATATCTTAAATATGTTTCCAAAAACATGTAGGGTTTACATTTACATTCTTGGTAATAGCACTCAACAATTACAGTAAATGCCACAAACTTTAAAAACATATTGGATGTTTCCACCCACACTTGTCCCTCTTAAAGGACAGGTCTAAGCCATTTTGGTCTAGAACATGTGAAGTGGAATTAGAGCAAGGTCACAGATTTTAATTAGTTTGAGCATGTGGGCATTTTCTAATTAATGAATCATAAATTTGCATCTGTTGTTTTTTTTTTAGACTTCAGCTCTGCAGAATTATAGACCTAGCTAGAATTTAAGAATTCACTGCAACACAATATCTTGATTCTAACCTAAGGGAGTATGACATTAATTCAATTGATCCCACTGTAGCGATGCTCACTGGCTACTGCAAAACATTTTTTATGGAGTCTAACCTCCTTTGTACTGTACCAGCACAGGGACACTGTGAAAACATGCCATCTGCTTTAATCTGTAATGTAAAGTTGCGTGAAGGTTATGACAAAGCTTTAACAGAGAAACCCCATTATTACTATGTTATAGATTGCGTTCCTGACTCAAGAAATTTAGCACGGTATTTATTATAGCGTAATAATTAGTCATGCATGACTAACTTTGGGTTAGTTGAATTTTAGCGATCTGTGTTTTTATGGTGTTTGTATAGCTTTTAGTCTAATCTGCACAGGAAATGTTGCTGCTTTTACTGCGCATATATTCAATTATGCTGATTTATAGAATTGTTTTCTCTGTGGATTTTAGATTTTTATGTAACAAAATAGTACTTTTTGTTATGGTATCAAAACCAGTTCTATCTTATCTTAAGCTTAAGGCTAAATACACTTTATTAAATAAATATTTCAAAATAAAAACTAGGAGCAAGTCTTTCAAGCCATTAATATCCTATCGAAATTTAACACAAGGTAGGATAATCAAAATTCAGAGGTAAAGCTGCCTAAAAACTCTTTTGTAATACTTTAACCACATATTATTTAATTTTCTGTAATATAAAGCATGCTAAAAATATCACTTTTTACGTTAGCACAAGTGATTCTATAATATTGACATTACAAAAGCACACTGGTGCTGTTATGAGACTGTTATGAGTAAACGTACGACTTAACTTTAGCTGCGGCCACTTGTTAAATTAATCAGAAAGCGCTGCATTTTTGGAGAGTGCCAGGCAAAGCAGATACCGACTGCAACCACAAGCACAAAACGCGAAAACAGCCTGACCCCAGGAAAAAAAAGATTTTTGTGCTGGGGCTTCTTGTCCCCTCAGGGAGACCCCCTGAAGCTTATGGAGCAGTTCATGTCCGCCGGGCTCATGCCATCTTCGAACGTGAGAAGGAAGTACATCACTTTCCGGATCTTGGCCAGTTCGGCGATCCGCTCGCCGAACTCCTGGGCGTCCGCCTCGAAGCACTGCACCTTGTCCTCGCCGGGCTTCTGCCAGAAGATGCCCGCGGGCTCCAGCAGCTGCCTGGTCATGAGGTTGGTGAGGTCGGGCGTCCAGAGCTGCGAGGTGCCCGTTATCGTGATCTTGCCTGGGGCCGAGAGCTTCACGTTCCACCTCAGGAAGCGGAGGTTCTGCTGGGAGAAATCCAGCCGGTACACGACCTCCTGGGGCTGCAGGAGCTTCTCGCCGTCCTGGGGCCTCTGGTTGCGTTGCTGCAGGCTCTTCACCCTCAAGCGCATGACCTCCGTCAGCTGGGCATCTTGACGGAAGGTCAACTCCAGTTGCGAGGCCATAGCTGTGGGATCTCGTCTGTCTCGGCTCCTGGCTTGCTCGGTGCCCGGTCCTGTGTGTTGCAGTGTTTGGGTGTCTATTGATTCTGTTGCACGTACAGTTAGGAGAGGGAAGGGGGAGGTGATGTTGGTGTGATGTGTGGTAGCGCTAGGCAACAAAGGCTAATGACGTATCTAGCTGCAACCCTGGGATTTTCCTCTGGGCATTTGGGAGAGTTGATTTCTTTACATGTGCACTCCATGATGCCTGCAGTGTGCTAGAACACACGGACGCAAGCTTACCTGTTATATAGCTGGTCTGATCCAGAGAAGAGACTGCTCACTGTTTTTTTTTTGGACCTCCCTTGTTCAGGATGGTCTCTGCCCAGCTTGGAGCCCAGGCTGACAAACCAATGTGGTGTGAAAACATGTCACTGCAAAAAAAAAACTAAACAGGGTGCTCATAGTGATACCCTTGAAAGCAAGTGAAAATATGTTTTATTCAATTTCAGTTGCATTACATTCAGGGCGGCTTTAGGCCCATTTTTATGTGCAAAGGGGTTTGTAATGTTTTTCATGAATTGTTGTATTAGTTGAAACAGCGGTCCTCTGCTGATTACATAATAGGACACTGGCTGAACTGCAAGCAAGAACATACTAGCAGAAGAAAACAGAATACTCAAAGAGTTTTGCAGCACAGCTTATGAGAAAAAATGGAGATATAATCCTCATAAAGCTTCGCATTTGTAGTTCTTGAATGACCTTTAATTAACCAATTCCTTTGTACTTCATTTTCCAGTATCCTGACTGTGGGGATTATTTTGCAGGTTATTCCAGACTGGAAGGATCAGGAATGGGATTCAGAAAAGCCAAATTCCTACGCCGGGATCTTCCACTTCCGCTTCTGGCGCTTCGGAGACTGGGTTGACGTGGTTATCGACGACAGACTCCCAACCGTCGGCAACCAGCTAGTATACTGCCACTCCAACGTCAGCAACGAGTTCTGGAGTGCTCTTGTGGAGAAGGCCTACGCAAAGCAAGTACAGCCAACAACAGTAGATAGGGAGATAAGAACAGTGTTAACCACGATTAAACGGTTCTATCCTGTTCACCTCTAGTGTTGCTATTGGCAAGCATTAGAGGCTGTATAGCATCCTCTATAGGTCAGTTTCAATTACTGCCCTTCTTACAGGTAGCCTGCCATAGAGAGATTCTTTATACAGTATGTAGTCAGGACACTCCCTGTCCATTGACAAGTCACTATGTCTCCCCAGATTGTATGGCTGCTATGAAGCCCTTGATGGTGGGAATACAGCAGATGCACTAGTGGACTTCACTGGAGGGGTCTCTGAGCCACTGGACCTGGTGGAATGCAAGTTCTCTGAGGACGAGGCAGCGAGGAACCAGCTTTTTGAGAGGGTGCTGAAGGTGCACAACCGTGGTGGCCTCATCAGTTGTTCAATCAGGGTAAGATCTTGATGTCTGTACCCACTCCGCCAATTCTCCTTTTCTCTCGCAGATGTATTGTTAATGTTGTTTCTATAAAATATTCCATTGTAGTTTTTTTGCTTAAGTATTTTGGCCATGAATCCTTAAATGTATAGTGGTAGTACATTTTGCATCTACATCTGCCCATGGTAGTATAGAAGGCTTAGAGCCTTTAATATCGGCACTCAAGCATAATCAGTCTGTGAATCTAACACATCTGAAGTACAGTTCTGCATTCTTGAATAATAAATCTTGGATTATAAAACAGCACCTATTCTGCCCATTTGCTCCAGGTTCCATTTTTTCCAAAGCCACTGCAACAACTGAACAAGAACACTCTTGTTGAGATTTCAGACAGACATCTTCACAGGGAATTGAAAATACTCTTTTATATTCATGAATTTCAGAGATCAATTTCGACAAAACATTCACAAAGCACGAGGAGTGTGAACAAGAGCTGCAAAGTTGTTGACACCAGTTTCTCATCACCAGCTTGGTGACCCAGGAATTCCTTGTGACTGACTGAGAAAGTCACAAAGAAGAAAGGGGGATGGGAGTGCCCATAGGAGTGACTGAGCAGAGTTTTAAGACTAATGCTGATGAATTGTAATCATTACCGCTCAGTATCATTATACTTTGACTGCTAAATCTGGTCAAACAAAACCTTTTGTGGCGCACTTTGTTGGTCACTGTATGTTATTCAGAGTAAAATCATTTGTTGCCAGCCAACGAAAAATTTAGAAACTCCACGGAGCAAAAACCTTAGGTGTGATTCGAAAACAAAATGTTTTTGCGGTGTTATTAGTTGGAATCAAGCCCTCCCAGACGATCGTGCTCCCCTGTTTTCAGGGGGTCCTGGTCACAGCTGGCTGACCACAAGCCCCCGCTCAGAACCATGGGCTCGCCCAGCTCACCTGGGACACATTCCCCCGTACCTTCGTGCCTTTGTAAAGGTCGTACGGGGGCTGTTCATTCCCGCGGCCCTTTCAGGTGTGTTCTTGTGCGTTTGAAGGCCACCAGCTCGGCGGACATGGAGGCACGGCTGGACTGTGGCCTGGTGAAGGGGCACGCTTACGCCGTGACCGATGTCAGGAAGGTGCGACTGGGCCACGGGCTGCTGGCCTTCTTCAAGTCGGAGAAGCTCTGCATGATCCGCATGAGGAACCCCTGGGGGGAGAAGGAGTGGAACGGGCCATGGAGTGACAGGTAAATCTGAGCCCTGACGGTCACGACACATACAGAGATGGGCAAGTGGCTGTTGAATAGCAGTTCCGAGAATGACGTTGGTCTTGCGGTCTTACTTTTTTAATTGTCTACAATATTTGACCTGGATTTGAGTTTGCTGAACTTGATATTAATTGTAACTATAAAGGGGAACGCCAGTCCCAATGTCTCATGTCTCAGACTCGTTAGTAAATCCCAGTAACGAAATAAACTGATGGTATCGCAAAATTTTACAAATTGTGAACAAGGTGCAAAATCCTGAACTTCGTGAAAGTACTGTTGCCATGTTGTCAAGAGATTTGCGAGAGAATTGCGATGTGATGCGGCCCTTCCTGCTCCCTAGTCACCGTTATGACTAATGTAATGTGATGTTAGAGCGAATAAGTACAAGTTGGGCAGCAGATATTTCACCGCAGAAATGTTCCGACGTGATCTGCGTGCAGAGTTGACAAGTAAGTAGTATTTGTCGGCACGACCGTCTTTAAGTTGAGCTGAATGTTTCTGTTGGATTAAAAGAAATGTATTAATGGGTCTGTAATAGGGGTTGCTTTGCCTCACTGGAAATTTTGTTGCCTCGTTCTGAAGAACACAGAACATGGTACAGCATATACCTGGAAATGTCTGTTTTGTGATGTAATTTGGAAGTTTTACACGTTACCGTGTACATTTTACTTGTGCGCTCATCAGTGCGAAATATGAAAATAACATTGCGGTTTCCTTTTCAATTTAAGTTGTGTGGTTTCTGTTTATGTCATAAAGTTGGTCTTTGTCTTTTGGCACCAACACTAAAATTAACTGTTTTCGATATTATCGGTTTGGCACATTTTGGAAATTACACATTTTAGTCAGCGTGACATAACTGGACAGATAACTGAAATCATGCCACACTTTCTAAAGAGTTTGATAGTGCAAGGTTCCCCAGAATTAGATTTGTTATTAAGCTGTGAATCTTTTAAGGCCTGTTACTGTCTTCTTAAAATCCATCCCGTGGGAGGAATCAGCTTTCATTCAGGAAATGGCTCTGACTCCCCAAGTACTGGCTGGATCACTTGGAACCACTCTGGGGAGGGTTTTTTAGACCCTGTGTGTGTCTCATTAGAGTGATTTCTCGGTTGTCTAAAATGCAGTGTTTGAGCGAGCAACAGCTGTCAGGGGAATTGCATGGCAGTTGTTGAAGACTTCTGTCTGGGTGGGCAGAGCAGTACAGTGTCAAATCAGTGGATGTCAGGCTGGTACTACATCGACTTGTGTGTCGGCTGAGTGGAGGTCAGTCCCATCCTGCAGCTTTCATGTCTATGTGTGTCACAGCACTCTTCTGAACTCTGGGTATTGCGGATCTGTTCAAGGAAGCTGATATACTCGGACATTCTAGGGGCGATCAAAGCTTTCTTTTAACACAAGGTGACAGAGGAAGAGCTGGGGAACCTGAGGTACAGAGCAAAATCGTCAGAGTAGTGAAACCTGCTGGCCTTGCCCTTGGTGCTTCCTGACTGAGAAAACAGGCCCTGGCAGCTATGCTCCCCGACTGAGAAAATTCATGCAAAAATGTTATTTCCAGTATAGACCATGGTTTAAAAGCTGTATGTAGTGTAATAACAGCATACTTGTGTGTCTCTTGTATTTACTTTTCTCAATTCCTGCCACCCCAAAACAGGTGTGTGCCAGATTTCCAGTGCGTACGACTCGTGATGTAATAATCGAAATTGATGAGGCTTAACACCTGCAGACTTGTTATCTAAGCAATCTGCTCTAATGGGCCTCTCCAGTCCTGGAGCGCCCAGTCCTGAAGTTTTACAGGTACTTTTCAGTCAGTCACTGATTAAGACAATCAAATGTCTAAAAATACAGGTGATTAGACTTCCTATCCAAATAATTAGCTCAATTAAGTCATCAGGATCAGAATGAACACCAGGGGGACCTGATTGCTCTAGAGAACCGGAGCTGCCCACTTCTGATGTAAAAGAAATTAAGAGCAGCTTCTATCATGTATCTTTTTCAACTATAAATCTTAATGTCTGCAGAGGGGGTTCACTGTTATAGTGTATCTCCAGATTTTCTCCTCCTTTGGCATAAGGTTGTTTCATAATTACTGTTGTCATATTCTGAAACTAAAATCTTGATTTTCAGTTTGTAGTGCTCTTTTGTGCACTACAGACAGAAAGATTGAAAAATTATAGACAACATTTTAACATTAGAATTCTAGCAAATTAGCATTGCTGTCACAGCAAAACTTTTTACATTTAATATTTAATGTAGGGTTTGTACTATTTTACAGTATTTGGGGCTTAAATGTATGAAGTCAAATGTTTTCTTCACCTGTAAACTAGATTGATTGTAAAAGAGCATGTTTTAAAATTCTTGCTGTGTGGTTTTTGTGAATTTGCATGATTAATTTGGGATTACTTGTGGTGTTTCCAGAAACTGAAAGGCAGCTACCGTCTTTCAAATAAATTTGGTGCTCATCTTTTTTTCCACTTGTGTTTCATGGCATGCACTTCAGATGAAAGTGTGTTCTCTTTTTGGCTTGGCTTTATTTGGCATAAATTATTTACAAGAAGAAATCTTATTAAAGTGAAGTGAATCTTCTTCATAACATGCTATGAATTATTTACTTAACTGGACGTGCTTTCATTTCAGGTCAGTCAGGGCTGTGCTGTTTTTTTAAGAAGCTGCTTCCAGCAATAGCAGTCTGTCTTAACTGAAGATTTTTGGCTAGAAGGTGTCTGGGTTATTTCATTAAGTTATCTGCAGCTTCTTGGGAGTGTTAGATAAACTTTCTGCATATAATTTTGTTTTGGGGTTTTCTTGAGGTCAAAAGATTTGAGTTAGTGCTTTTGTGCTTTTGAGGCCAGATGTTCTGGCATTACCTTTTTTAAAAGTTTCATGAAACAAGTGGAAGGGTACAAATGATGGAATTGGCTGGAGGAGCCCTTCAGGTCATTTCTCAAAGGACAGCAGCGACTGCAACATATTTGGGTAGCTTATTCCAGACTCCCACAACCCTTTGTTCAAGAGACACCCCTGTCTTAAAGGCACTTCCTGGACGTTTCCCTTGTGTCCTATGGTCCATTTCTGCCTGTAGATGCTGAAAAAGGTTTTGGTTTTTTATGGCTGTCTTCTCAATACATTTTTGTTCCGTCTTGAGTGCAGAATGCTACTAGGGGGCTGTACATCAGTGTGTGCTTGTTTATTTCATCCTCTTATTTTTATGTTAATGTATATATCTTATTAAACTCAGACCGTCATCTCTAAATTGGAAGGCTACTGAAATGAAAGTACTAAAATAGCACCTTTTCAAAGGAGTTAATGTCTTCGCCTGATTTACTTCCATAATATAGGGTTTTCTGTCATTCTTACTTAAAATTGGCAGTTCAGGCCATTGGGGACAAAAACTCATTAAAACAGAAGTAAAATAAAAATGGTGCTTTAATAGAGATATTCTGTGTGAAGGAGATAGTTCCAGCTTGCAGCACAGAGAGAAAGAAGTAGAGCTGGGCCCAAAGATTTTTTTCTTCCTGACCACAGCAAATGTGTCATGGCCTCCTTAGCGTGCAGAGTTGTGAATGTCTGTTTCGTTCTTTTGTCTGCAGCTCTGAAGAATGGCAAAAAGTGAGCAAGAGTGAGAGGGAGAAGCTGGGAGTGACTGTGCAGGACGATGGAGAATTCTGGTAAGAGTTGTTCTCTAGCGACTTCTTTACCCTGTACGTGAAGCTGCAGTTCTCTTTTCTAGCCAGCTTTCCTCATTGCTGCTAGTTTGCCCTTTCTATGAAACAGTGATTGCAGCACAAATTTCCCAAAAATGCTTACACGTTCTCACCACACTTTTAGCGTATATCATAGCCTCAGCCTTCCCGATCCCCATTTCTATTGAGAGTTTATTACAGTTTCTTTTTATTATTCAGTTGTTCTATAGAAAATAACAGCACATACATTACTGCTATGTAACTACTACATGATTGCTTTTGTGTAAAAATAGTGCATGTACTTTTGCTGTAAAGCAGACAGTAACGGCACAATGCAAGAGGTAAAACTGAATGATAAAACTGAGGTCAGGACTCGCATAAGTTGACTATACCAGTGTAAATGTATTAAAAAGTTTAGTCATAAGACCTCAAGGGTAAGAGAAGAGAAATCATTCAGTAAGTTTTATAGGTCTTCTTAAATCTTCACGAACTTCAGATCTAGAAGGTTTCAGGGAGGTTAAGCCTTAATTGAGCTTATTAAGCTTCCTGAGGGCTTGTGCTGTTAGTGATTCAAAGACATCTGCAAATCCTGCTGGACCTGGGAAGCTCTGTGTTTAAGAATGTCTGTCGGAATTCAGGTGGGATGTCATGAGAGAATTCCAGGTTGATTACCTTTGGTTTGCCGTGCGCTTTTCAAGGATGACGTTTGACGACTTCTGCACCCACTTCACGGACTTCATCTTGTGCCGGCTGATCAACACCTCCTACCTGAGCATCCACAAGACCTGGGAGGAGGAGGTGATGCGGGGGGCCTGGGTTCGCCATGAGGACCCCCTGAAGAACCGCACGGGGGGCTGCATCAATTATAAGGCCACCTTCCTCCAGAACCCTCAGGTACACCCAGGGATTCTAGATTGCAGAGATGATCTATAAATCTAGTGATTCGAGCCTGCAGATACGTTCTGTGAATAGAGAGGTTCTAGAATCCAGAGATGATCTCTATATTTAGGGGTTCTAGACTGCAGATGCGTTCTGTGGATCAAGGGATTCTAGAATGCAGAGATTATCTGTAGATCATGGGGGTTCAAGACTGCAGATACGTTCTGTGAATCAGGGGGTTCTAGAATGCAGAGATGATCTGTAAAATATAGGGGTTCTAGATTGCATTGATGTTCTGTGAATTGAGGTGTTTTAGAATGGAGAGAGAGTCTGTAAATCTAGGGATTGTCTAATTTTGACACACACCTGTTTTTAGAAGAAAATCTTGGCGAGCTCATTTAGCTTATACCATGCAGGTTTGTGCTATGCCACAGGTTTGTGATGTGAAGAAGAGGACAGGGCTTTCAGCCATCTTGAGGAGGGCTTTAGTCATGCTGAAATAAATCTCAACTTTAAATCTAGTCGGGCCACAACGAAAGCCAGACAAAATCTGGACACGTCTTGAACACGCCATGAACCTGTATGAAGTGCTTTACGGTTCTCGTGGCGAAAGGTTTAAGCCGTCTGGGTTGCGAACGCATCTTGCCTTTCGCGAGCCTGCATCTCAGAGCTGGTTGTGTCCGGTGCCTGTGTGTGCAGTACGTGTTGGACGTGAAGAAGCCCGAGGACGAGGTGCTCATATGCTTGCAGCAGAAGGACCGGCGCGCCCGGCCCAAAGAAGGCAAGGGAGAAAACCTGGCCATCGGCTTCGACATCCACCGGGTGAGCGCTGGGGGGCAACTCCGAGCTCCGGCTAAAAGGTCTTTTCTGATCCGAAAACAACAACAGAACCCGAGACATCCTGGGACCAACACCACTTCTACCTGAATCTATCCAAATTGAAGTGAAGCAAGTTCTAATAACACTCTAACCAAACCGAATTTTGCACAGGTGACACCTCTCACCATTTTAAATCCATTGATTTACACCTTGATATTATTTAACAAGGAGAATCACCTCCGTAGAAGATTTGATTACATACTGTATACAGTATGTAACCAGTTTTGTTAACACAGCGGTCCTCTTTTATCAGGTGAATCCCTGTGATTTGTGATTTGCTTTGTCATAAGCAAATTGGGGGACTGGGTAGTACTGCTCCAATGAATAATTTAAAGAAGGCTCTTCACAGCGCCTGTTTTCCGTGATGGCAGAAACAAAAGAAATTACTTCAGAACTTGAATTCTGTACCCGCCGGTACTGACCCTAGAAGCTTTGTCGCCGGGTGTCTTTCACAGTCCTCAGTAGAAGGAGCCAGGGCAGTCCCAGTGTGATAGTGTCTCACGTTGTCCGTCCGTCTCCCACCCCACCCCCCAACCCAGGTGGAGCTGAACAGGAAGTACCGTATGCACTCAGCCCAGCAGAAAGTGGCAAGCTCCATCTTCATCAATTCCCGCTGCGTGTTCCTGAGGAAGGACCTGAAGGAGGGCCGCTACGTCATCATCCCCAGCACCTTTGACCCTGGCCTGCAGGGCGACTTCCTGCTCAGGGTCTTCACGGACGTGCCTTCGGACTGCAAGTAAGTGTGACATAGGTGCTACTGTACATCCTCACCTGACTGTCCTCTTCTCTTCCCCCTCTTAGTGTCTTGTTTTCAGAACAAAGGCCTTTTAAATTCGGTAAAACTGACAAAAACAACCTTTCAATTAGTTGATTTTTACAATCATTACTATATTTATGTCTCCTGCTGATGGCCCGCCTGAATATCCTCTCATACAGACACTTTTTAAGTGTTTTATTTCCCCTTTCTTAAGACCCGGGAATATACTTCTGTCCAGGAATCTTTTGATTTTGTCTTTTAACATGACTGCAGTGGTGGTGATTGACAGTCACAGTCACACCCTCCCCCATCTGTTTAGGTATCCTCTTCCAGTTTGCTCAAAGAATTAATTCCCTGTCCATGCCTCTTGAGTATCTCAGGCAGTGGGTTGAAAAATGAAAAGGTCACCGTTTCCAGTCTGAACCAGCACTAACAGAGATTTCTGAATCGTTTCAGCAACATGGCATTTTCTGTGAGGTTTAGGCATCTGCACAGTTGCATTGACGGTATATCAGATCAGCCTGTAAAGGCTAAAATGTTTGACAGCTGAGCTGGTCTGCAGGTCCTGGTAATTCCGAATTTGGTAGGTCTGAAATAAAAATCTGATCAAAATCTAGTAAAACAGTGCTCTTCAGCTGTGATGGGAGTTTGTGAGGTTCAGATGGTTGTGAATGGCTAGGGTAGGCCTGGAGACTGTGAAGAGCAGATGTCTTGCTCAGTCCCGTGTAAGACCATGTCTCCTGGTTCCAGGGAGCTAATGCTGGATGAGCCACCTCAGACCTGCTGGACCGGCATGTGTGGATACCCCCAGTTGGTCACACAGGTGCATGTGGTCAGTGCCCAAGGCCTGCAGGCCCAGGACTCTGATGGAGGTATAGTTTCGTGCAGCGTACAACACTGCAGAGGCAAAGAACATGGTGGGAAGTGGGTCTTGCATTTCATTGCTAATTCTGTCCCACTATATGCAGATAACTGAAGCAATGCAGGGCTGTGTCTTATATGTATGATGTGCTTATGGTAATCTTGAATAAAGTATTTTAAATTAGGTGTGTAATTATTAATTTTATTATCACCAAGTAGCAAGTATATTTCGAAGTATGTTCCGTGATATCAAATGCATTTTTTAACAAAATAATTTCTGTTAGGGAAGCATGTGTTTTTGAATAGACAAGTGAAACAAATCAATTTGGAGATTTGTGACACTTCCGAGTTTAATGAGAATGTTTGTGACAGAACACCACCTAGTGGTCTTAAACTGTAATACCTGAACAGGAAGTTTTATATTAAACTGAGTTTTATTGTATGCCCTACCCAATATTTTTTTTCAAAGGAAAATCCAGTTTTTGTAAAATGATAATGGGTGTTTAAACTGCTGTAATTAATTTTTTAATTCTAATGAAGACCTCCTTCTTGGAAACATGCTGGAAAGTGTATGTGTTATTCTGACAGGATTTGAGATGTTTCCATCTTTTTTTTTTTTTAGCTTCTGATCCCTATGTCATCATAAGCTGTGAAGGGCAAAAGGTTCGCTCTCCAGTGCATAAGAATACACGCAATCCAGAGTTTGATGTCACAGGGCTTTTTTACAGGAAGAAACCAAAAGAAGGCATCCAAATAGAGGTATGGAAATGACGTTCATGGCTTCTAGTGCTCCATTCACGAACGTGCTAAGAGGAGGACATTGAGTGTGTCAGTCTCTCTCGGTCTCTTAGCCACTACTGATTGTACTGGGATCAAACTGCACTTCTTCCTCCGAAAAAGGCACCATTAAGAGTAGCCAGTCAACCTTAACCTGCATGTCTTTGGGTAGTGGGAGCCAACTAATGTGTCCTAGTGAAAATCCCCCAAAAAGCTTGGGGAGAGCAAGCAAACTTCGCACAAAAGGACACACCAAGCACACACCCAGGACCATAGAACTGTGGGGCAATATAGCTAACCACAATGCCATAGTGCAGATTTGCTAGTTTGCTAGTTTGCTAGTTTGCTAGTTTGCTAGTTTGCTAGTTTGCTAGTTTGCTAGTTTGCTAGTTTGCTAGTTTTACAGCACTCAAATTGGCTCACGCCAGAGCAGATGTTGGCACAAGGGCTTGTTGTTAGATCTTTACTCACCAAATCACATACAGCAAAAAAATTGTTAACTTGTAGCAGGGAGGACAGACCAGTTAATCCCTAGTCTTTCTTTTTTGTTGTTAAATTACATCAGTAACTTGTTAGTAAACCCTCCCGATGTGGATCTACAGTTTTTAACAGTTTACAGTTGTTAATCAGTGTGCCACGGTCCCAGTGCCACAGGTGTAACAAAGACATGTATGCACCCTCCCCCAGTGCTCTGCTTCTCAAGCCCTTCATAATGTAACGCGCTGCAAACCTCACAGTTCATTGCAAGAGATTTTGGAAGAGAGCTTCCTCACTGATGCAAAATGACAAACGCCCAGTGACTACCACTTGACATTGTTGCGCTGAGCCCGAGAAATCCTGGCCAGCTCATGCCCATCTCCTGTGATGGGGCTCGGAAGGGAGAAATAATATAGAGTACAATAGGAATAGGAAATGGTCCAGGATCAGACCTTCTGCAGGAGCACGTTTCTGTGCCTTTCTTCAGATTCTTTCTGAAACAGGTTTACAGCTCTGCCAGGGCTGAGAGCGAATGTGCCTGAACACTGTTCAGTTATTTAACATGTGTTCCTCGAATCCCCTGCGAATATAGGGCTCACAGACCCATTCGTAGTCCTGCCGGTAGTCAGTGTCTATTAAGAGGATAACACTGTCTCCCTCTCCGTCTGGGCTTGGGACAGATCTACAACAAGAACGTGATGTGCGACTCATTCCTGGGCCAGGTGGTCCTCCCCAGTGACCCCAGCGACCTCCAGCAACAGCACACCGTGCACCTGCGCGACAAGGGGAACCGGCAAAGCAGCGACCTTCCGGGCACGCTCAATGTCAGGATCATCACCAGCAACGTGCTCACCAACATCTGAGCGTCGCCCCCCCGTGACACCGCGCCGGGAGAGGCCCGGCACAGCCGCCCCACACTAAAACTCTCCCGGGAATTAAAACCTCTCCATATACCTGCGCGTTTACAAGGGCTACGCCTCGTCGTCTCGCGGCACTGTTCGTCTCCGTGTTAGAAAAACCCCGTCCGCGGCTGTGGCTGGCTGGCGTCTCTTTCCTGGCTGCGTCTTCTAGAAAGACAGCTGGCCTCCCCTTGGGTACGGTATCATTCTGTGAGCGGCTTTCAGCAGAAATGTTGAAAGGAATTTAAACAACATTCTGAACACCTTCTACTTTTAGACAGTGCCAGTGAAGAGTACCAATCCAATAACATTATGTGGAATAAAAGGATTTAGGTTATATTAGCTATGTATGTGTTTTTGTATGGTATATGTCATTATCAATAAGTGCTTTAAGAGACCAAAGGAAGCCATGTACTTGATTGTCTACCAAGCGCCATGTTCCTGGTCAGTTGATTTTCTTCTTTGCTGTTTTACCTGAGGCATTGTTAGCAAGGGCACATATCAAGCAGCATGAGGTTTCACAAGGCCAAGTAAGCTACTGTACAGTGAGCCTGGTGGTGGTGAATTGACCAGAGCTTTGGTTTGTCCTAAAAAAAATGCATGAAAACAGATTGCGAGACTGTTGGGTGACCTGGGGAAATTTGCATTTTTAATTTTTTAACGGTCTCTGTTTTCTGTTACATATTTAAGACATTTGTGAGAATGTAAGACAATCAAGAAACCAAGGGAAACTAATTTTAAAAGGTGCATTTTACTTACTAAACTCTTCTGAAAGCAATGCAAGCCATTCCAGTTTGTATTTTCCCACTGACTTCTTTACTTATTGGCATGGGTGTAATTAACTAGTACAAACTGAGCTTGATGGGTTGTTTTAATTTCTTTTGCATAATGGAATTGCAAGATGGGTTTAAGTACGTCAGTGTCCTAAAGATATTTTTTTTTCCTTATCCATCACATTCCTCATCTATATGAACAGTCTTGTGCTTTTTTCATCTCGGATTGTCAGAAAATGCTATTGATCTCAGCGTGACATTTTTTGCCTCGTTCAACATTGGGTATGAGTCAGCCTTAACAGACCCATAAGGGCCAGTAGACCCAGTGGTGCTGTGATCGCAGAGAGGGGACTGACACGATATACCTCACCTGACCCTGGACGCTAAAAAACATAATGGTGTTTCAGGATGGTAGCTTGTCTGAAATCTAAAAAGAACTGCACATTTTGCTTTGCCAGTTTAGCTCAAGCCAAATCAATTGTGCCATATTCTTGTATTACGCATGAGGGTACTGTAACATCAAATGCAGCCACTCATTAATTCAAGTTTACATTATTAGTTGTCAATTGTGATAAAGTATTATTCATTTTTGTAATCATATTAATTGTTGTTATCATATTAGTAATCAATATTTATATATCTGTAATAATTCTGTATTGCATTCTGTTTTTCATTGTAAGTGAACAAAAATTAAAAGCCCTCTATTTTAGATATTTATATGGGAAGCTCTCCATACATAGTTGGTGGACTGTTTTGCAGTCCAAGGTAATTGTTCACTTGCTGTACACAGACCAGGGGTGTTTGTATAGAAGCTCATTAAACCAGAGTTTATTCCTGATTCCAAAGCGTTCAGCAGGTTGTGAGTTTGTTGGGACTTCAGTCCATTGTAGCGTTACTCCCCAGCAATGCTGGTACCCATTTTTACAGCTGTGGATTGGCTGCCAGAAATTGGGGTGAAGTACTGTGCTGTAAAGGGACTTAAGTCTTGGGTTTCTAGAGACCAAACTTTGTTTTCCACCAAGTGCCCCCAACATACTGTAGTCTCCCTGCTCCAAACCCCAGGTTTCTAGAGCACTCTCCTTTAAACAACTTTTGTTAGTCATTCAATTTTAGGTTTTACCGATATTACAATGAAGCATATGTTTATAGATGAATATTTTTAAAAACGACTAGGCACACACGGGCTTAACAAGGATATTTCGGGCAGTGTTCGTCCATTTTGATTTTGGTGTAACAGTTTTATTCCTTGTAGTCCTCATGCACTTTGTTCAGATGGGTTTTCTTTTAATGTGAATAAAGCTAAAAATACAAATATTCCAAGTACAGTGCGTGGATTGTCCCAGTGGCAAAAGATGCTAACTTGTGCTCTTAAAGCTTTAGATCTGAGGAGAAAACTCATGAGCAAATTATTACAAAGTATTTTTGTTTACACTTAAAAAGACTGACATAGCTCTGCTCTATATACTGTATGATGTAAAATGCATAATGATATGTACTTCTTTAATACTGCTACATTTTTTCTCTGACCTACTGCTGGTAGATCTGAGAACTGTGTAGTAGCTTTATAAGTCATATATGACTGAGTATAACATATTTACAATAAGTGTATTTGTTTTCTGAATTATGTGTGTCCTAGTCTGAAACCGGCATCCGATATAAAAGGAATTTTTAAAAAATCATGCATGGAACAGAAGAAGGAGCTTCTTTCACCTACCTGATTGTAACATGTTAGTCACTTTGCTTAAAATATTGCCAATTATTAGTGTTTTTCAGCATACACGTGACCATATATGCACCTTTCAGAATTACCTTTGATATTATAGTGTAAATTAAATGCTTTCCTAATTATCGGCTTTCTGCACATTCCTTTGTGTCATTTTCCAGCAATCGTGTACTTAACAGTTTATGCAAACCACAGAAATAGACAACATTTCAAATAGTAGTCATATAGACCATCTTTTCATTCTGTGTAAAACTGTGAAATTTAGTCAATAAAATCAGCCAATTGCAGAGACCCAGCTCTTGTTTTGCATAATCTGACTTGAATCTTGCAAATGTGTTGCATGATAACTTCTATACCGGACACTGCAAGATTTTTATGAATATTTTTTTAATATTTTCTACTTTTCTGTTACATCTTTTGTATTTCTGTGCTGAATATTGATTTAAAAAATGTCTAATGTTGTTAAAAAGCTTTTTGCTTAACAATGTCTGTGCTTCAGGATGTTTTCCTTGTTTCTTGTCAATTCCTAACTGGGGTGTTACTGTGGTTATTTTATAACACTTTATGGATTTTGTTTTTGTATTTTATGTCAATTTATGGCATGAATTTGAAATAAAATTAAAGAGCTTTTATTGTTTTATTATTCGGTTCTACCAGCGTTTTTTGTTAAGATGGCTACAGTATTTAGAGATTGTTTTAGTTTTCTGTGGGTAGTGTATTGTTGAAAAGCAGAGAACTATTGTGGGGTTAGAATGTGGCTTTGTTAAAAACGAAAGCTGCTTTGCCTCAGAGCTGACGACAACAGCAATAAATTTCTACTTTTTGTTATGGACTGTGCAGATTTAGACTGCTGTGAGCAGATGATTTATTGTCATATCGGCGGAGCAAATTAACAGTTTGAAACCAGTTTGCTAACCAATTAATGGATGGAACACCTGAACTTTTTCGTGTCTTCTTTGAATGAAGAAAGAAAGGCAAGGAGAGGGGAATTCGAGCTCGCATGTGATAATTGCAGACATCGCCCTGGTTTTTCTCTCCGTTTTAAATCCACCAACAGCAAAGTGGTCCATGGCAGTAATATCTCAGAAGCTTAGCTCGGTTGGCCAGCAGTTCCTGGGATGAGAGGCCTTTAAGGAAAGCCATGTTGCTGCAGTATGTTTTGTAGGTGGACCAGTAGGTGGCGCTCTTCCATCTGGACCAGACTAGCCATACCAGTGCCCTAGTATCATGACTAGGGACACTGCGCACGGTAAGTTACTCATATTTGTAAGAGAAATGGTGCTTGATTACACGGAGTTTACCACTGGCTTAATTAAGGTTGCCCCTCAATTCAATTCAAATGTTGAAGTAATTTTTAACTTCACTATAAGACCAATTAAGCAATGTGGCTGTCAGAATGTCACAGCTACTGTATATCACCTAGATCTAGAAAGAAGTGGTTCCCATCCTGTGTGTAAAGAACTATAAGATCCTTCGTGATGGCAGGTATAATACAAATGAAAGAAATTGTAGGAATCTTTAAGGGAACAATTTTTGAAACATTGGTTTTTAATCCTCCATTTTATGAACTATTAGCGTGGATTACAAACATAAATTCACTGTGAAGTCAGGTTATACCTGATGTGGATGGAAAAGTTACTTTTACTTTTGAACCTTTCTTAAGGCAACGGTGATTCCTTATAAAGGGCCCTGAGACACATTTATGTGTTTTTCATTCCAGCACCACATAAACAATGTTATTAATCTCGCATTGTGAAGAAGAACAGTTTGGGATATACCAAGCAATAGATTTCTCTTCAAAGATTAAATAAGCAGTATAGCTTCTTGATTTGTGGCTTTAGAGAAGGTTTCTGGCATTCATCTTAAAATAAATTGTGCATCTATCATAAATATTTCTTATTGAACTGAATTGAAAATCTAATTTGCTGCAGTGTTGAATCTAAGTATTTTTTTTTTTATTTTGACATTAAGAGAATCTTTAATTGCATGACGGTAGAATAAGACTCAAATAAAAGATGCTCCTCAGGATTTATGTGGGGAAAGCTACACTGTTACTGAAAAATAGGTACAATGCAGCTTTGTAATAAAATAACATAACTTTGTTGAAAACGTACAGTAGTTTGCTGAGTATTAAGAGTGTTATGTTAAACAAATGTATTATTGTTGATTTTTGGTTTACTTGTGAGGAATATTAGACAATTTGCTTTCCACACAGTAAAGATAATTGACATAAAATAGCTATGAACTGCAAACTGAGTGCAACTGTGAAATGTTACAAAGTGCTTGTGTTTTCTCCAGCGTGACATTGAGACAGTCTCTTAAAGGTTATTTTTGCTGAATATTAATAGTTACAATTTCATACACCTTTACGGGGAAAACTTAGTTCCGTCTATGTCAGTTACTTAAAATATCTGACAAATAATCACTGTATTACTATGCATTAAGAGGTATTCTAACTTTTTCAGGTTGGGACTGACAAACCAGCATTCTGAATGTTACTATCTTGTTCTCTCAAGGATAATCCATGTGTACGATTGATCAATGAGAGCAAATATGCACTTTATGTTTTAGACCTTGCACTAAGTACAAGAAGAAGTGCTGAGGACGTCTGAGCTCACACCTGAAGAAGGCTCCATGGCCGAAACGTTGTTTTCTTTCTTCTTTTTTTCAGCATGGAATAAACCCATTACTTGTTCCTTTGCAGCCTACGCATGCTGACGCTGCTACCCACCTGAACTACTGTTGATCAAATGCCTCTTTTTCCCCAGGTCCCCTTGAAGGGTTAATCTGCTGTGAGAAATGGTGGATCATGACAGGGAATTTTCCCTAAAAATCAAATCTAACCCAACTTGAACGGACCACCACAATGAGAACAGGATCTGCAGGGAGGGAGATGGGCAGTAACAGTGTTCTGGTTACTTCTCCAAAGCCCATGGTGTTGAAGCTCTCCTTTAGGGCTTGGTTTGCCTCCTCCCTCCTTGATGACCAGCCGTTTGCCCTAAGCCCTCCCTCCCTGCTGTGAGAGGGATCAGTGTCTGTGAATGAAAGCAGCACTGCTGCCTAATCCCTCCAACAGCACACATACTCTACACGGCAACTCCGGTTTTCAGCAGGTGCGTCAGTCAACTTGAAAGAGAGTTTTGCGTTTCAGTCACCTACACCACCAACTGGTGCCTCACTTGTCCCTGCTCTGGACTATTTTCCTGTGGAATAAAGTGGAGCAGAAAGAGCAGGATTCCTGGTTGGTTAAAAGGTAAGCAAAGGGATCCAGAGCTTAACTGCGCTGTTGGTTTCTTAAGGGTTTATTTAAAGCTTCTTAGAGCTAACATTTTTTCCCCTGCAGCATAGCTGGAACCAGACGGTAATGGGCCACTTTAATAAAAGAGACAGACTTTTTAGGAGAGCTTTCTAGATCGTCAAGAGTTAGCACACAATATATATTGAATTTTGAGGTAAAACAATCTGTATCCTGAGTTGTATTAGATGAACCTGAGTTTTTAATGCAAAAATTTTAACAGAAGGAAACTAGTTTAGTGATGGCTGCCAAATGACAAATCTGTAGAAATAAAATTCTAATGCACACTTAGAAAATTATACTTTTTTTAGCAAACAAAAAGCCACAACACGCCCTAAAATGAAGACTTTTTTGAAGCTGGTGAAATGGCACACTGATACTTCTTTCTTGTTGTTATTAGTGCCAGAGAGATTAAGCACTTGACCTTATTGGTCATTCATTAATGGCATATCCTTTGACAAGATACAATAAATCTACAGGAGCAGTGAACTGAAAGAGTGAGACAAGACACGAGAAGGGCATTTTATGTCAGTGTTTGTAAGAATTCTAGCTAGTCTAGAGGATGAGCACATTGTTTTAAAGTTCAGACTCTGTTCACCGATTGTGACACAGACTTAAATAGTCTTGAACAGCAGACAGTTACATAACCTTATACATAACTAATGCTGGTTTGTTTTTGTAGTATCACTCTATAACCTGTGTTTCATAACTTTTTCAATTGGATTTTCAGGGGTAAATCCAGTCTGAGATCTGTCCCTAAGAAACCATGATGTAACACATTGCATTGATAGTCTTAATGGATGCCAAAACTGAGCTGACATGCAGTTACAGCAGACGATAGATTCTAGTACTGTGGAGGTTCAAAGATATTTACATTTTTTCCTTAAGCCATTACCGAGCTGTAGTAATGATTAACTTATGTTCCACACTTTTTTTGCATTGTAATCTAATAAGTGAAGTGAAAGCAAACCAACAGAGCTCCTTACTAAACTGTGTTCTTCATCCCCACTTTTAATTTTTCCATAATTTACAGTTGCCTCGGAACCAGCCTTCAATAACCAGTGATACACAGGCTGCCCTGAAATCATTATATGCAGGAAATTTGTTGAGGGAAACATGTCTGTTATGAATACTAACTACATTGCTGACACGCAGCTCCTGCTGGGTTTTGTGTTGTAAGCTGCACATTCTTGTGGACAGGATTTTTCTGACTTTATAAGGCAGGCTGGTGATTCGTCCATTGCAAGGACTTGTCTTTAAAATGAGCCACTTTGATTCCCAGGCCTTACAAAGTGTCTTCTATTGTACCTCTCTGACCTGGAGTGCAGTTGATAAGCAGCTCACACTTGGTCTCAGCAAGGCACACAAGGATATAAAAGGCATTGCTCTGCAAAAGAGCATAAGTATTAGATGCACCTGCAACTTTTAATTCCAGTATCTGAAACATCTTCTGTAAGGGCTGTGATTGGTACTGTAGTTTTATTAATGTTGCATATTCGCAATATGAAATACCATTGCTGAGAACACAGATTGGCATTATTATGACTTTTTTGGGGTGCATATAATTTTGTCTGCTTCCCTCCTCAAAAGCATGTGATAGACATTATTAATCAGCAAACTGAAAGAATTTTAGAGGCTGTGATCTTAGGGGCTAATAGGATTGCCACATGTGGATTGCTAACACACATGGGGGCATGACTTAGTGTTATTTAATAAATCATTTTATAGAGTTGGTAGGGTGTATTGTAGCAGCAAAGGTTATATAAAGTTGGCGTTTTCAATCTACAGCTGCAATGATGGTCAATGCATGCTCACATTTTGGTCCATTGTCACTCATTTTGATATGTACAGTATGAGGACAGTACACTGAACCGGCCTAACCAGCTGTGCTCTATGAAGGCTTTTTATGCTAAACTCTTATATCAGCTATAACCAGGATTACTAGTAGTTGTGTAGTACTAGTAGACCATACGTAGTATGAATTGCAAGTAAGTCATGTAGGTAGAACAATTTTGTGAGATGACGAGGGTCAAATCATCCGCAACAGTAACTTTCGGAAGCCGAAGAACAAAGTGAAATGATTATCCCCTTTGACATCCCAACTCAGGTCTGTGGTTATCTGCCTGACCAGACCTACAGGAAGAGAATGGCAAGGCAATATCAACTTTCCAGATGCAGCTCTCATGTTTTATTGTTTCATGCCCCTCCTGCTGTAATTAGGTATTTAAATATTCATGGTAAAATGTGTAGCTGCCACAGACAATATTCAGGGTGCCCGGTACACAGTGTCTTCCCTCAGTTAACAGCTTGTTATAGCTGATTTGTTGTTATCATCTCATCCCTTGTATGCCTGCTGTGTATTAATAATGATTTGCACTGCTCACTTTATCATACTTCATACTTTACTGCACTGTGGCAGGCTAGAAGTGTTGAACAGATTGTTTCTTGTGCCCTCCAAAGCATTTCAGCAGCAAGGCTTAGAATCTTCTAGACTAGAGTTTCCAGTTTCCAGTTTTCTCATATGCTGATATGATATTTTTTCCCCCCACAAATGTAACACATCATCTTTTTTCATTCATTTGCTCATACCTGTCACTGGAAATAATGTTGCAGAAGTCTCCAGTTGAATTTAATTTTACATTATGTCACACAGTTTTGAAAATCAATATGCTTGTATATGGTGACATCACAGCCTATTTAGATAGATATATATTTTTTAATGAATTAGCAGCGATATTGGTGAATACAAGGTTTTGACCTCAAAAAATTACATTTACATTGCACCTGTCTTCATATTAGGAAGTTAAACAAAATAAAGGGCACAACTGTAGTTTCAGGAGATATAGTGAGTAAGGAAATGTGTAGAGTTTCATCCAAGATTGTATTTTCATGTGGAGTGAGCACTACTTCAGATTGTATCTTTTAATAAGATCAGATTGAGGTATTTTCTATTGTTTCAGCACAAAAGGTGTGAGAGAGAACTCCACTGCCCAAACAATTGAAATGTATTTATATTCACACATTTACAATCATCATTTTAAACCATTTTTGGTTGCTGTTAAATATTTTTAATATACAGTGTACTGCAGCACTGCTATGAAGCAATTCAGGTAGTCATTGAACAGTTTGAGCTGCCCATTGATAATTAATAAGGACAGCAGTGCATATACTGTACATCATAGCTTGACTGAATGACCCTGCAGTTTTAAAGCAGTCCTGGAAAGGTCAACACATCCATGGGCTGCTAATTAGCTTGTGCTGTTTGCAAGGATTACATCCTAGCCCAGGGCAGCGTGGGCTCTCATGTGATTGAGATCGAAGCACAGGCTGGCCGAAGAGTCACCACGTGTCCTGGGAGCAGTTGAGTACTAGGAGTAGGCTGTTCCTGGTCAAAACCACTTACAGGATCTTCTTCTATACGATGTGTTGGCTTCATAGCTGTGCTGTTCGTAAAAAAGTATTGTCACTTCTCTGGCCTCTAAATCTCTTGTCTATATTTCAACCACTTTTGTGCAAGCTGTTTTGGTTTAGTCTTTTCTGAAGGACGTTTAGGTAACAAGTATAAATCCTTAACCACCCCCATAAGCAGAGAGCCTGTGCCCAGAGCTATGTGCACACCTAGCATTCACCCTTATATAGTCTGTAAATGTTATATGAATTGTGCTTTAAAGTCATGTATAATAATAATTTACATTAACTATCTTCTGTTCGTTTTTTTTAGACATTCTGTAATCACCAGTTTCTGAAACTAATTTTTTAAACAACAGTTTAATTGCGTTAAAGTGGTGATCTAGACTAACTTGAGTAAATTGGGCCACAGTGAAGGCATAACATAAC